TACCCTCACTCTGTTGGCATCTGCTGCCTGCTTACTCATGAATTTACCTGTACAGGTATACACACAGCGTGGTTGCTCGCACTGACTGTTACAGGAGACAAGTGAGATCTGGAGTGTTATACATGATGGGATATGAAGGATGGCAGGTGATACAAAGGATGAAAGAAAAGACCTTTATTGGAAATCATTATTATAACTTTATAACCGCGACTTGATTAAGTTGAATTGTTTTGGCTATCATGTTGAATACGTCATAAAACTAACAAAAATGAAAATGGATCTTAATATGAAAGATTTGTATTTGCCTCTTGGTGAAACAAAATATAAATTCCATGAGCTCGACAGCATCCACCCCCTCCCTCCTCTAAGAACTAAACTTTTCACATCAGGGCCGTATCCAGACCTCAAATTTGACCGATCTAATCTTTCAGTTTTTCTAGTTGTGGTTAGCACAGATTAAAAAAGTCTATGGAATTTTTACCCCTCATTCCACAATGCCGCACTTATAATACGTACTGTACAGTATTTAACTAATATTTTCTGTACTTCGACAGAAGTACAGAAGTACAGTAAGACTGTATACAGTAATATCTCAGCCGGAATCCTTCTTAGCCAAAACTCTCCGATAACCTGATTTGAAATTTGTTAGGAATTTTTCCATAATTTCTAGGTTTAGGAACGACTTTCCAGAAAATACCGGAAACTCGCCAGTTTTTTCTCTGTGTCTGGGAACAAATTCTGATGATGAAAATCGGGCACATTTTCTGGAAATTCCAAGAAAATTTTCCCGGTACCCGGAACAATTCCGAGGATGGAGGATTATTTTCCAGGTTTCAGAGATGAAATACTGTAATGCATTATTCTGGAAAATTCTTGAGAAAATTCCAGAAACTCATTTTTTTTCCAGGTCTGGGATGAAATTCCAATAATGGAATAATGTGCAATTTCTGGAAAATTACAAGGAACTTTTCCCAGTACCTGGAAAAATTCCAGGCATGGGGAATTTTTTCCCGGATTGAAAGTCGTCTTGTTACCCAAAAATCTCTCATTCCCAGAAGTGCTCTGCACCAAATTACACAATACTGCTTATACAATATAGCTTGGTACAGTATGTATAAGAACATAAAAACATAAGAATGGAGGAAGCTGCAGCAGGTATATTGGCCCATACTAGGCAGCCCTGTTTACACCCAACCTCTATTGCTCATATATCCATCCAACCTACATTTGAAGCTACCCAGCGAGTTCAAGTCAATGATGAAGTATGGTAACTTATTTCATTCATCCACTAATCTATTTCCAAACCAGTGTTTACATATCTCATGCCTACATCTAAATTTGTCTAATTTAAAACCATTGCTACGAGTTCACTCTTGCTTGGATAGTTTGAGTACCTTTGTTATGTCACCTTTGCTGACACATAAAAATACATGCACACACATACATCAATAACATTAAATGTACAAAGCAAGATAATTGTAATGTCATAATTCTTCATGATGTCAACGACAGTCGTTGCATACCCATGTTCACACCTCCTAGGTAAAAACACTCGCATACCTGAGCACTCTAAACTATCTCATCAACTAACCTCTCCTTCCTAGTTCTCTGTTGTTTCATTTTTTATGACTCCACAACTTCTTTGTACTCAGTCTCTCAGTCTATGTTCTTCAACACCCAGTGCTGATAATTCTGTACCCTGTATTCCCTTATATGTGTCTTTATATCAAATCATTCTTCAAAACAGCTTACCTTTTACATCTCTCACTTTCTCCTTCCTCCCTTTGCTGCATTTTGTCCCAGTAATACTTCTGAAAAATGGAAAGGTGTGAAAAAGACTGAGGATTATTAAAATGCTGAACAAATGAAGTGTGTACAGTAAAGTGAGATAGTATTGACATGGAGAATATGTGAAAAATGTTATGTAAAGAAGATTTATGATTCAAACTAAGAGGGAAAATGTTGACATGAATAAGAAAGGAAACGACAAAGAAATACTGTATGCTACACTGAAGTCTGAATCAACCATGTGACCAAAGAGAATTAAGAGAATTTACTCGTATGCTAGGTTTCTCTGCCCAGCCAGCTACCATGAGCATAGGATCATAGCTGGGAGACCATCTAACACTGTTCATGGGACAGGTACAGACAGATATGAATCATGTGATATGAACATACTTGCCATGAACTGTATAAAACAGCAATTGAGGTTATAAACTTTACATGATGTTTCAATACAGTACTTAATGTATATTTTTTTAATACAGTAATGTTGTACAATATTCTATCAATCATAATACAGTACAGGAGATCCTCAACTAAATGTGGTGAAACACATGCACCATTTACTCTCTCACTGTCATACATAATTTTTCTCCATTGCTAGTGATGGTTACACTGACTCCACCAATATTTTACTCAGTTTATCGCATCTTCCTATCTTGGACAGTACATGTATTGTCATGTCTCATCTTCATCAATTTATGATTCGTCATGTACAGTGAGTCCTCGCTTAACGTCGTGGTTCCGTTCCTGAAAACCGCAATAGATAAAATGCGGGAGTTACGTTTCCCAGCCTCCCTTCGTCCCATAAAATACATTACATATATGGTAAAAAAATTCAAAGGAATTTGTATAGAAAATAGTATACTGTACCTTATACTGTAGTTCTTATCATATCCCACACCTGCCTATTTCCTTTTATTTAGGTTTACTGCACAGCTCTTCTTTATTAGGGTCTTGCAATTTCAAATATTTCCCCCTAAATGCTTTATCAAAACTGTTTAAGTTTCTACATTATTCGACATTTGACTCATCTAACAGCACAGAATTATGGCATATAATTTTGGCTACTTTCCTTTTTTGATATACTGTAATATGATTTAGCCTCATCTTATTGTCACCCAGTCTCCCTCTTTTTACTGTATTTTTTTATTAATTTTACTGGAAGTTTTAAAATTATATATTTTAGGAGATGGTTGTGTAGTATAGGGGGTCCTCGCTTAACGTCGAGGATACGTTCCTAAAAACGCAGCGTTATACGAAACAACGTTAAGTGTACCAATTTTCCCAATAAGAAATACATAAAATACAGGAGTTACGTTCCTGAGCCATCCTTTGCCCCATGAAATACATTACATATACAGAAAATCATTGCCATATCTATAGAAAATAGTGCATACATATACAACTACTAAGTTTGTATTGGTACTCACCGATGGGCGGAGTTGGTAGAGTGAGTGTGTGGTGGGTAGTGAAGCAGAGGAGACGGATGGCGGGAGGGGAGGAGTATGGCGGGAGCGGAGGAGTATGGTGGGAGCAGAGGAGGAGGGAAGAGGAGGAGGGTGGTGAGTCACTGAGACTGCGCCTAGCCGAGAGAGCATAGCACGGCCAGACGAAAGAGGGTGATGCACAGTAAAATGTAGTCTGTGACGGCGCAAAACGGCGTAGTATCGGATCACCGGGACGTTAAACGAATTTTTGGTCTCTTAAAGTTTAACGACGTTATACTAGTACTTACTGTATCAATAGTTGACAAAGTAAGGAATGAAGCTGTGAAGGGAATACTATATGAAACAGAGAAAAGGATGGTTGAAAATATGAAAGGTGAAATGTTCAGATGATTGTCACAGAATATAGGAATGAAACAAGAATGGGAGAATGTTTTAGGTGAAAGGGAAGGGAAAAGGCTAACAGAGAACAAAGTAGATAAGTAGAGTAAGGGATTATAAAGACAAAAGAAATTTTATTAAGGTGCATGTGTAAAACACAGTAAACCTCGTTTACCCAGACGTTGCTTAATACAGATCACATGGAGAACATCTTTGAACCTATGTCCAGCAATGTGTCAATTCCTGGCCCTTCCTAGGGAGGAAGAAGAGGAGGAGGAAACTGGACATTAATTTCTTTCCATTCTAGTTAGTCACAGTGGTGGGTGTCAGACCCGAGTGCTATTACTACACCTTCTCCTGAACCTCTTTAACAGATTTTACAATCTGATGAAGAACATTAAGTGTTGAACAAAATTATCGCTAAATAAGGGATAACGAGGAATAATATCCATGGACATGGAATGTAATTGTGTAGCCCACTCGCCTCCCAGTAGCACTCAGATCGGGTAAGGGTAAGCTGTGAGCTATGTTGTTCAACATGCGACGCAGTTCATCTGGGCATACACCAAGCTAACCCGAGAGAAATGTGTGGCTGCTGCCTGTATACCATAACATCAAACAGGGGGGAGGGAGAGTGAGGCTGGCTGCAGTTACAACTCACTGCCTCAAGACATGTTCACTTCCCACACATACACACCCATGCTCTTCATTTTTCTTATTTTATACAGGAGGTAGTTTTGTATTATATTTTCTTCATTTCTAAGCCACATTAGAGTACATATTGTAATGATGTGCATTTGGAGCACAGAATCCCCAGTTTTGCCGAATTTTTTCCCAGTGAGTTGACATTGTTAAACTAAAAATTGATCATTAAACAAAAAAGGGTATAAAAATTTTATATCGTTAAAACTGAAATATCGCTAAGTGAATCACCTTTAAACGAGGGATACTTGTGCAAGTGATTTAGTAGGACAGTACTGTAGTACATATGAGTGTTAAAACAATTGGCCTCACACTCACAACTACCTACCTTTACTGCCTTTATACTACTTTCAAAATCCCTTTGAAATTAAAGGTAAATACTTATTTAAACAAATAATCACCTTTATTAATGTTTTACAGGTTGTTATTTTGTTTTTCATTACAACTGTTAATTTGCCTATTATTTCAATGTGGTAGGTCTTCGTGCTTAGAAATTTGCAATAATCTGGATATATTGCGAATCTGGATCACATTTTCCCCCAATTGATCTGGATTAACGAGGTTTCACTGTACAGCATGTTAAGCTAGCAGGTAAGTGGCTAGCTGCTTGTAACCTCAATGTTTCCTTGATAACAAATAAAAATTCTTAATTAAAAATAAGAGTTGCGATACAATAAAATTACTATAATACAATTAGCTTTATTATTAACATAATATTTATATACAGGACTGTACATACAAATTAAATTGAATAATTTTCCAATGGTGTTCTTAGAAATATATTATCGTTCTATTCTCGATGAGACATCTTTCATTTCTATTCAATAATGCATTTTTGTACAAAAGCATCCAAACTACCACTTTAAAAGGGATTTCATACAACATGTATGACCTTATATATTAATTTTATGGTTTTTCAACTCAGTACTATTATGGGGCGTTGTTATTACCAAATAAAATAGAAGGTTGTTACAACTTACTAAATAATTCTACAGAACTTAAAAATATATACAACATTGCATGAAAAAATTTATACAATGAAACCAATTCAAAGATGATAAATTTTACCTCATTAATCACAGCTGGCCCTCTGCTTAACTTATGTTTACATAACAGCAACTACACCTGACAGAACCAAGGAAAGCCCAATTACAAAATAACCAGTCTGGTACAGCGTTCGCAGTGTGAATCCGTAACCTAAGTCCCATACCTGGAAAAAAAATAAAAATTATTAGAATTTTAATTTACTCCTGAAAGCCCTCTCCCTGTTTTAAGTTGTGTAAAATGGAAAATCACTTCTTGTGCATAATGTAAGTGATAATAAAAAAAAATAAATAAAATAAAATTTAAGTTAGATAAATTATTTCTTTAAATGACAACCAGGCAACATTATTGATTTGAAGAAAAGCAGAAACAGTTTACTTACTCTGCTAGTTTTCTTTCTTCAGCCTTATTCAAACTGAAGTTCACTTTATGATCTAGTGTTTTTTTCTGCAGTTCACATGGCCTACCATTTTCTTATTGCTCATCTTCTACTTTAATCATTTAACCCTTAGGCCCTGGGTGATCTGACTAGCGTGTCCAGGATGACGTTCCAGAACGTCCGCCCATTTTCCCGCCATTTTATTTTTATTTGTAAGTTTTTAAACTATTTTTGGAAAGGTTGATTTTTTTCTCGATTTAACCCCGCGAGGGGAGGAGGGGGGGGGTACTGCCAGCAGCACCCTAACCCGGGGCTTATGGGTTAACTGTCATGCTTTCCTACTTTATAAATATAAAGTCAAAGAAAAAATTCATGTTCCAAAAGCCATGACAGAATTTGGGTAAAGTGACAGCAAAGGTTCAAGTCTAAATGGAGAACTTTACCTAAATTCTTCTTCTTGGATTTCAAAACATAAGGCACAGTATGTGTAATGTAACTTTTTTCTTTAACTGTACCTTCTGTCTTACCTCAACTACTGTATTATAATAAATCATTCTGCATCCCCAACTTGCTTTACTCTTCTCATGTAATCTAGCTATGCCTTAACTTTGCTCTGGAACAACCCAAACTAAAGACTAGAGCAGCAGTTCCCAAGCATGGAGTTGCATAGAGATCATGGGGTCAACAGGGTCACACAGAGCTCATAGGGTCGCTGGACTCCAATAGAGCTCAAGGGGTCGCTGGAGCCACCTGAGTCTTGCAGCAGTCAAATGTGACTGAAGGCTGTGGCCGGCAGGTGCTGTCTGCAATCTGTAAAATGCTGCTACGACCACATATTTGGCAAGGGCAATCCTTGGTGGAGACTCCCATTGCTTTAGAATACGATGAAGTAGCAGGCTTTGAATGAAATGCCAAGGGTTACTTTTGTTGTCCTTGTGGTAACGTGGTAGTGATCCCTGTTCACACGTAGAGTTCCTGGATTCGATGCCTGACTCATAAGTTATAGTACAGTACATACAGGCAATCCCCACACTACAGAATCACGGGTAATGGAAATTTGCTCGTGGAATTATTAAATTATGACCCAAAAATTTGTGATACAGACAAAAAGCTCATCTTTACGGAATTTTGGCAATTTTTTTTTTAATTTTCAAACATAAAATTCGCGATATTTAACAACGAAATTCACTGAAATTAGAAAAAAAATTTCACGTGGATTCTTGGTGGTAACTACAAGACGGTTGGAGGGCCACTGACCTTCCCAGTCGCCAGCCACCACCACAACAATAGAGCTGCTCAGTTTGAATTCTTTCCACAGCTTGTGTTCAGTTATGCGTGAGTGTTTAGGACTGCTGTCGCCTTCATAGAATTATGGTTAATTTATTAAGATTTTCAAAAGAAAGAATCATGACATAGAAAAAAAAATTTCACAGCTTTTTATCAATTTATTTCGTGTGGATTCTCATAGTGGCTACATGATCACTGGCAGACGGCTCACCTCTCCAGTTGCTAGCAGCCACAACAACAATGGCACTGCTCAATTTGAATTCTTTCCCCAGTTTGTGTTCAGTTATGTGTCTGTGTTACTGTGTACTCTTATTCAAGATGAATGGAAAAAGACCATTAAGTTCAAGTGGTGATAAAAAATTCCATAAAAAGGGATTGCATTGGACATGCAACATCACTGGATAAGGTCACACTGGAAAATGCTTTGGAATCCCTGGTCTAGACTCGAGAGGATTAGCACCACTACTACTATATTAAAAACTGAGGGAGTTGCACTACATTTCTCCGAAACAATAATCTTACCAAATGTCTGACACCATTACAAAGGTGATACATGAACGGCATAGCCAAGAGGAACTTCACACCACAGATAAGTACTCCACCAAATTCCATGGACTGGACCAAGCTCAAATAATGTGGATAAGATCCAGGCAGAGCCAACATTCCTGTGGGAAGGAGTAGAATAAAATAAGGTGATTTTATCTTAAACCAGGGACAAATATATACGATTTCTAAAAAGTTACAAATACCTGTACACAGTATGGAAGTCAACAGGCTTCTGTCAACACAGCACACTGAAATAAGTTTCAGCTAGAGCATCCCCATTCTGATGAAAATTGGCACACAGTCTGATACTCTCAATTTACTCTGCACTTTCTTAATGTTACAAAATGTTGGTACTATACTATATATCTCAAACAACCACATCAGACTACAATTTCCAATTCTGCACCATTTGCTATACAGTCCCATGGATGATGGTAGGAATTAAAAGCAAAATTTTAACACAGTATATGTGGGTCACCTAATTTTCAAGGAAACATGACCCGAGTCACAAAAGACAATGAAAAGTGCCACTACCCTACATAAACAAGGGACACAAGTACCACATCCCCATTGTCTGTAAAACAACATTATCCAATAGATGGTGTGTTCCATTTGAAAACTATTATCCAGCATTATCAATGAAGTGTGCTAAAGAATCTTTATTGGATGTTGTTGTTTTACAGACACTGGGATATCACCCTTGTGTTAGTAACTCACCAATGCTAAATCCAGACATCAGTCCAGAAAGAGCCAAGCCAGAAGCACGATGAGAAAGAGAGAGCATCGATGTTATCTGTGGCTTATATATCGTCATATGAGGCGAGACAGGGCGACGCAGACGTTTATTCTTAGCCCAATAGTCCTCAGCTGTTTGATTATTCATTGCTGTAATAGTGGGCGTGGTGAAGAGTGCACGTGACCTGTAAAGTATTTTATAATGTAGGATGTTACATAATAGGGTAATAATAAAAAAAAAAAAAAAAAGCTTACACTACCCAATGTTTTCCCAAAAAAAAGACAATGTACTGTATACTGTACAGTATAGCAAGGTACCAATCCGAGATGGAATAGCTGGCCCCAGTCATGCTACTGTCACTGAAGTAGCAAACCCTATACTCATGAGGCCATTACAGTATTCAATCACATTTTTTTTTTATGAGCTTACGAACTAATGCAAGACGTTCAAAGGATCTCCATACTAAATATGAAAAGGGTTTCCCTTTCGGTTTCAGATACAGTATTACTGTATATGATGATAAAAATTTAATTTTCAATTTTCATGGGGAAAGAAATGGGGGTAAAAATTATGGACAGTTGCTCAAGTTTTCAAGCCAACTGAAGAAGTCTCTTAATGTTTATGAGAAAAATAATTTCTTTTATCATGACTAGAGCCAATCGGATGGAGGAGTGGCCCTTTTCCTGTTCAGGAGTTTGGTTTTAGTTTTCCCGCATATAACAAAGAAAGACATCAGTATCACTCAACCATTTCGATGCCAACACCTTTTTTGCATAAAAAAATTAAAAATGTAATGCAAAATGACACCTATTAATAGACTTCCCCCCATAGGAAGAAGTCTTGTCTGTCATTTGCCAACATGAACTTAATACAATAGTAACCTAATTTGATGGATAATAATAAGATAAAATTTTCAAGTAAAATAGTGTACTGTAAATAATTTTTACATAACTCACAATATTCCGACATGATTACACAATCTCAGAATGATGTAACAGGTGCGACCCACACGGGATTCGTGGGGGCTCTGCCCGCCCCCAGTGACTGCCCGCCTGAACTGCGTCACGTCACCCAGAGGATGGTTTGAGTGTGGAAGGAGCTATTCTTTGTACATAAAATAATGTATATTGTACTAGTAAATGTGATGAATAAATAAAAATAATGCCAATAAACTAAACCCATTGCATTGCCATTTGTCAATTGTGTCACTACACACGAGATTGTGAACAGCTGAGGACCCCCACTCAACTCCTGCTCTATGTGATAACTTCAGTGCACGTAAGAAATGTTTTTGCCATTATGTTTTTTGCCTACCGGGTAATTTTTTTTTTGCACTTTTTGTATGAAAGATTATGTGCATGTAAAAAAAAACATTTATCCACCTGAAATAACATGTTGAAAAATAACTGCTCTGGCATCCTTATCTGTCTTGCACTGGTTCAGTAACCACCTCCCAGGAACCCCCTGGTAAAGTTGGTGCTGTAATTGCTAACAATACAGAACTGTACTGTAGTGCAGTAAGTTCCCATCACCTCTGACACCTACTACACAGCACCACAAATTTGAATTATCCTCTTCTTTTGCTTGCAGTGATGGTAAGTGTTAATGGATAAAGTTGAGGTTAGGAGGTGCCATGGCAAGACAAAGACTGGGAAGGATGAATGAGATTAAAAACTGGGTTCCCATAGAGATACAAAACCTTGGAGGATTGATAAAAACAGCCAGAGAACGTTTAGGGTATGGAACTTTGGTCAGCAACTCTAGGATATGAGGATGGTACTCTGATTGATTGATTACTATTTTGGTAATAGGTAAGCAGATACAGTAGTTAACACCAGAAATACTTTATGGAATTCGTTTCATATTTCAACAGGTATTGTTTGGATGATAGTAAGTACAATACAAGTACTGTAATAAAAAAATATATGCCAACTTAAAAATTGTCATATCGTTTTTATTTTAACTTTAATTTTAAGCATTTTTATATTTTTTATTTCCTTTATTTATGATCATAAATCGCCCATTGTGGGCAGGGCATGAAAGATGAGGGAAATTATGGGGTAAAACATGGCAAAAAAACTGATCACATAGCAGTAATTTCATGACCCTACATGCATTGTAGGCAAAGAAATACAAAAATTTAACGTACTGGGTAAATAATTCTTATTATGTTTATCTATCAGACCAAAGCATCCAGGCCAGTAGTAGTATAACATAGACTTGGCAGTAACCAGGGGAGCACGTATTCACCCACGGAAGTTGACCCAAGGGAGGTCAAGTTCACACGGGAACCAGAATTCTCACCGCCACTCAATCAGCTCAACCCGGCGTCATGACCTTGTTAATTCAAGGAACTGCTAACCGGCCAGCACTTCTGTTACCCAACCTAACACCCAGTTTAGTGTTAATTGGGAGAGGTCATCTGCCGGTTGGAGACCTCCAATATATAGGCCATGCAGCTCCTTTCACAACAGGAGTCTTGTAAGCATGAAGGGCCAGCAACTACGACCCCAGTCCCGCTCGTCGTCTCATCAAAGTTGTCCGTCACTAAGGGCAACGAGGTCTCAGCCGGGTCCATCGACAATGTGCTGTCGACTCAATGTGTAATAGTAAGTGCTGACTGTGTAGATGGTAGTAGTGGGGTGATCCTGAACCTCCCCAAAAATCGACTTAGTGGGAGTGCCCATTCTACTTGTTTGGTTATAAGAAAATATCATTATCTATTATACACTGTGTACGAACCCCCCCCCCCCGTTAATTCCACCTATTGAACTACAGTAGTAAAATAAAGCTGTAACACGCATTTGTGTTTTCTATACTACACTTGTATGGAGCCTGTGTTAATATACAGCATTATCTTCACACCCTCGAGTCACGCTACCTACTTCCCTCGCTATACGACTGTACTACTATAAACTCCTACCTTACCTCTTCATATGAGCTTTAACCTCATTATATTCTCCTGTGACGCCACATATTGTTGTCTGCCCTTAAACTAATAATTTTAAATCCAATCTTCGTGAAAATTAACCCCAACGCACCGGGCTAGGGTGCCGCTGGCCGTACCCCCCACGCGGGGTAAATCGAGAAAAATCAACTTTCAAAAATAATTTTTAACCTTTTCAAATGATAAAACAAAACAAAATAAGAGAAACTATATATTGACCTTCTAAAAACTTCCCTGGGGCTGCAGTGCAGTTGGAAACCTTTCATATACTATTACCAGCTACTTAAGGATCTTAAAGAAATTTTAAGGTTTATTATCGTTTCGGTCATCCAGCAAATTTTATGATGGGTTAGGTTAGGTTAAGTTGAAATTATATTGGTTAGGTTAGAATAGGTTTGGTTTGTTTAGATATCTAAATACAGGGATGACCGAAATGATAATTTATCATTTATACAAAACTATGTTCAAACTGTCCCATCAACTTTGCTTATTTCACATTAATATAAAGATTATAGTAACGTGTATCATTACCATGGTCAACAGATTCCCTTCACCACTAACGTAAACATTAAATTTTAACCAACTAACTACTATTACTTAATTACATTACATTAGGATTAAATGAATATGAAAACACCTAAGAGTAGTTATTGCTATTACATGGTTCACTTTTATTTCTTCATAGTAATGTTAAGGTCATCACTCACCATTGAGGACCCTGCAGGCTGGTGGGGTGTCTACTGGCCCCCCCACACCCTCTTGTCGCAAATCTGAAGAAAAAAATTCCCATTACTACCACGCAATACACCCCAACGTTAATTTCTATTCCAGGAGTGTAAATTCAACTAATGTACAGTAGAAAAGACTATTTACCGCAGCACCAGAGCCATCCTCGATGACGAAATCAAATGACAACAAAATTAAAGTTTATTATTATACTTTCCAAGTACCTGTATTTATAATCGTTAAAATGTTATAAAATCCTATTAAACTTTTTAAATGTTATCTAAATTATCTATGTGTTAAAAATAAATAAATATATATTTATAAATATTATAGCTGCTCGTTTACTCTTCAAAGATATTCATGGTTTGATTGGAGGGAATTTTGAAAACCCTTCAGCAGTATTACTTTCCGTTTCCTGTTCTACAACCTTCATATGATATATATTAAGGCTTCCTACAACATATATATTATCCATTACCCGAACCATGCATACTTTGTATGATAATGAAAATTTATGAAGTACGTACACAACTAATACACGAGACAATTTTTAGATCTAAAAGTTAATAAAATAATGAAGAAATAATAAGTGGACTCTATAACAGATAAAACTTCTATTTTGGGTAAGTTTTCAGTAAATAAAATACAACACAGTACTGTACTAATGCTGTTTCATGGATAAGTTGGGTAATGTGATACTTCTCCTTACTGTTGGTCTACCACAAGCTTAACCTGACAAGATATGCATTCAGTACTCTAATATGTAAGGCTTTTTCAGTTTGCAAGTCTTATTTACTTCAATCCTTTGAGGTAATTTTCTTAATATTTTAAAAATACATACTGTATTTTAAAGTGAGTTATTTAACATTTTATTCTTATTTAACTTTTTATTATACTGTATTTGCTTTGATATATATACCTACCTTTACTAATAAAACTTATTATTTTTTTGGCTGTCATCTAAACATAAACTGTTATCATAAAACATAGCTTCTGAAGAATAAGTCCCTCTGTTTAACCTCTTTAATTTAGCTTTATCATACTGTACTGTAGTACATAGTACGAGCTTTCAGAGGCGACGCTATGGAAGAGAATTTTCGTTTGCTATCCCTTTAGGGGTGAAATATTTATGGCCTTTTTTAAATGTACAAATGTAATTCGTTTCTGTGACAGTGAATCAAAATTTAGTGTAAATCTCTACCAAATTGTGTCTACTATTGAAACAGGATGGCTAATGGATTTGGGGAGAAGATGGATGGGTGGGATTGGGAAGACAAAGTAACGAGGCAGTTCATTCTTTCTTGCCACGTTCGTTGTGATGTCTTATCTTGGATGGTAGCGGCAGTTTGGACAGCATATTTCCAACCGAAACATCTGATATTGTTTGATAAGTTAGATCATACTTTAAGTGGATGCAACACTACGAACTACCATACATTATAAGAAGGTAAATCAGGCAAATAAATTATTGGGTCTTATAAGAAGGTCGTTCAGATATCTAGACGGTCCGTCCCTCGTGACGATCTTCAGGAGTGAAGTGCTTCCCCATCTGGAGTACTGTCACCCCATCTGGTCCCCGAGATATGCTAGGGACTGTCAGTTGGTTGAAAATGTTCAAAGGAGGGCCACCAGACTGGTGCCTGCACTTCGGCACCTCAGCTACCCTGAGAGATTGGAGCGCCTGAACTTGCCTAGCTTATACTACAGACGGGCAAGGGACCTAGTTGAGGTGTATAAGCATCTCAGGGGGCACTACTCAGTTGAGTGTCCTTCCTTGGAGCTGGCGGACGCTCGCCCCACAAGGGGTCACAGCTCAAGATTGAAGAAGCCGCAAGTCCAGAAAACCGTGAGGGCAAACTTTTTCGGAGTGAGGGTTGTAAACTCTTGGAACAATCTACCAGAGTGTTGTGACGGCACCGAGTGTGAGCTCTTTCAAGAGAAGACTTGACCAACACTGGAGCGGGTTCAGGTACATTCAGGAGCCGGTGCATGCCCAGTATTTGCCAACAGTGCGTGACAGAGACGTGACCGATCGCCCGGGCGGCTAGCGAGCCGATCTTTTGGTGAAGAATATAAATGAAAAGAGACGTGACCGATCGCCCAAGCGGCTAACAAGCCGATCAGTGGCGAAGAGGATAAAAGTAAAAAGTTATGTGATAGGGAAAATTTGTTTCTAAATGGTATAGTGAATCCAGACATTGTACAAGACCTAATTCAAGTATGTCAGCAGCTTGAAAGTCAGATATAACAACTGGAACAGTTCAAGAAGTCATCAATAATGCCCAGAATTTGATGTGTGTTGTCTAAGTCAAGCAATTTGGTAAATATCTTACAATCATGTATTTTGATCAAGGCTGATCAACCACAACCTGTCTTTCCAGACCCATTCAAGCTTGGTTGGGTGTCAGATGATAAAGTCAAACCACTATTGACCACAGTTTCACCAATACCAGAAATCCTTGCTACATCTGCATACAAGGGACTTTGTGGTTTTAAATAACTGTACCTTCAACATGGGTCGTGTGAACTCGTGTATATGTGGAGGCAAACCAGAGTCATTTTCACATACGTTACTTTCATATATAGACATGGATAATATTGATTTGTGAGTCATTAAGCTGGAGAGTATTTCTTGTAAATTTTAAAATATAATGCATATCTGGTATCTGACATATATATACAGTAGTATGTAGCACAGGTAATGCTATTCATTAAAAAAAAATACATACACTATCTCATATCAATTGGATATTGTTGAGCATTAGATGTTTGGAGTTTTGGACGGGGGTTGTGCCTTCCCCCCCTCCCCTGTAACGTGTGATCGGAACCACTAAACACCATAATAAATCCCAAGGTTCCGTCAGTCAAATATTAGTACCCCCACCTTAAATTGTCTAGACAGCATAATCTATTGAAAAGAACCGTAAAACCTCCTGCAGCTCACCTTGTAAGGTACCACTCAGACTACAGTACTAGTACAGTATTTTACATATTATACTGGTCAAGCTCACTGGTCGATAATTATACGTGGAGTGGTGAACTCCCTATGATCACCGAGGACAACCAGCTCTCTTCTTTTATCAGACCCAAGCAGGAATCAAACCCTGATATCAGTAGCGAGAGGCAAGAAGTTAACAATCGTAAATCAGGGGATACATGTACCCCTAATTCAGGGTTGACGCGTACATTCAAATTATACAGTACTATATATAATTAAGGTCCCATTAAAAATTGCTTGATATCAAATATTTTATTTCTTGTACAGCATACATATACAAACAAAGCAAAAAAATATGTGTAACTTTATATTCACAAATCTGAAAATTATAAAATCAATCAAATTTTTATACATTTGTGTTCAGAGAATAAGTTACATATATTAACCTGCTTTGTAAACCAGAAATAGGCATAATACAGTACAGTACTGTATACACAAACAGTAATGATAAAAAAAATTACAAATGTCATTCACACTATTGTATTGTAGTACTGTACACACAAATATAATTCTAGAAAGCTGTATATACTGTACAGTTATATGAAAAGAGAAAAATACAGTACAAAACATCATTAGCATCAAGGTTAAAAAATAAAGATACCTGTACTACTGCATAAAAGGAACATCTGCAGATAACAGCTGAGGTATCACAAGGTATCTACAACCAAGATGTTAATTTTCTTTACGCCTGATTCTGAGATCATTTCTACTCTAAGTCCAAAATCATAAATCTTTTATCTTCTATGATGTAATAATGTTCAAAATAATTATGTACACATTCTGACATGTCTAATAACAAATTCAGAAATGATCAATTACCCCTCGGACTCCTTCATGAATCATACCAAAACTACTACTACAACTGAACCTCACATCATAATACTAGACACAAACATACCCTTTCCATTCCTGCTACTAAATCTTAAATTATTTTCTTTATCTAAACAAATTACTTTCTCAGAATTTCTATCTACAGCAATGATATGCTGAATGACTTGAAACCTTAAAATGTCTATTGATAAAAATATCACTGTACAGTACAAGGTTTCTGATAATCAAGAAAAAGAAGAAAATGATCTCAAAATTTCAGGACACCAGCAGACTGAGAGGCACATCCCATATCCTAAATCTTAAGTCTCAAAGATTCAATGATTTTAATATATGCTAATGACTGGATTGAGCAGGCAGACAAGGAATTCTCAAAGCCAGCAAGTGGCATCAAATATGAATCATTGTGTACTAACTTCACATAAAAGGCATTTTCTTAGCTGATTTTTCACACTGAACAAGTGCTTAACCATAGACCTCATTATTAAGATATAATTTATTATGTGGAAGCATTTAGAGTATTGTGTATGCTAATGACTGCTTCATTTGCTCATTAATAATCTAGTTTAGTATCCACTAACTAATCAATGAATCACTTGCCAGGTCATAATAAAGATACAATATCATGATTCCTAATACATAGTATCACAATGGCACAGCTAAAATAGCTGGCTTTATGCTCATTAAAATTAAAATTCTCTCTCTATGTATAAACATACAGTTGACTAATATAACTTTCTGAAGAATGATGAAGCAGACTTGCAGGCTTGCATGCTTCTTTACACTGCTTTGTAAACTTTAAAGCCATTATTCTCGAATGTAACAGATTAATATAGGGTATAAGATTGAAAAATGATAGACAAATGTATAACTTCCTTTAAACATCTCATTACATTAAAAATATTTGAATCATAAAAACAAATTCATGATGGGCAAATTATCCAGATCAAAATATTTTGCAAAATGCTTAATACTCTTCACATGCATTTATTTTCTAATATACTGAGCAAACTTGTGCAGTTGTTCCACCACCACAGCTACAACAGCGTTAACCGAGTCATCGATGAGTCCCTGCATGTAGCTGACAGCTTCTTCATCGCTCAGGTCTAGCCGGAACTTGTCCTCTACTTTCTTCACAGTTTTATCAGGTTCAAGGGCAATATCTGGCACATTTGCATCCACCATAAGAGAAAACAAATTGAGTATTAAGTTTGCATGTCGGCGAAGTTGATGGAATGCTGTGTAACAAAGCTTGCGAAATTCATGGTAATGCTCTGACTGTGCACCACCCATCCCTTCAACCATTTCTTTGCTTAGCTTCATTGGAGGTGGAAGTGGCTTAGGGTCCCTTCCAAGGATGTATCCAAAATCAATATGAAAGAGGTTGCCATTCCTGGTTAAAAGCAGATTATCCAAATGTCGGTCACCAATACCAAGTAAATATGTGATGACACAGTACCCAGCACAAGACTTTATGTAAGTATCCATAACTTCAGGAGCAATACCATAAGCTGCTGTTTCTGATGGTGCATACTTTCGGAAGAAGTTCTGGATTCCTCCTTCAGTACGTAAGACCTACAAGAAACAGTCAACCAAATAATAACATAAAATTCAAACGAAAAACATGTACCATACTATACTATACACAGTACCAAATCTATTAATTTAAGTTAAACATGTTGGATATTGGTGAGGCTCATCTGTTAGGAAGGGGGAATGAAAGATGTAAGAGAGAGATTGAAGTGATACAAGTATATGAGATGGGATGAAGTTTGATGGTATAGTCTGGTTTTGAGGAAAGTATAAAGGGAAAAAGAAAAAGATTGGGTGGCTATAGGGGAAGAGTGTACGATAGGAATCAACAAGTATAAAATTTGTATGTATCTCTGCTCCAGAACAGTAAATAAATAAATAAATAATCATCACTCACCCTACACCCGAGAGACAGAATTGGTGGTAACCCTAATCTGCCACCTCACATTCTCGATTCCGACAATAATTAAACCAAGAAATAAATGCTAGTTTTAAATGTAACTGTACAGACAAATATAAGTAAAAAGCATGGGTGTGTATGTGCAGGAAGTGAACGTGTGTGGAGGTGGTGGGCTATAAATGCGTCGCTGACTCACCAGCCCAGCCGCGGCATTTATTGTTTCATGTGATGAAACTATAAAAGTTGTTGAAAAATTATTAAAAGTATAAAATAGGTAAAATGAAGAGCATGGGTGTGTCTGTGAGGGAAACGAATGTGTGTGGAGGTGGTGGGCTGTAACCAAGGCCTTGGCTATATCTACGTCATTGACTCTCCAGGTATTCCCCTATTTATGATGGGGTTAGGTTCCTGAAAAGCCCATTACAAGTTGAAATACAGTATCGTAAATCGGGATCAATATAACAAGGGCTCAATGATATACATTCTCAGCCAATCGGACACCCACATGTATCACAGAAAAAATTCTTACACTAATAATATACAGGTGTACCTACATCACAATTAAACAATAGTCACCATACTGCTTCAAAATGTCAAGCTTCACCTCCCGAGAACACGGTTTTCCTGGGTGCCTTGGCATTCCCGGATATTTTCAAATTACACTGCTTACTTCAGTCACAAAAACAGTGTGAAAGCACTGGTCACAAAAACAGAGAGATGATAACGTTATTGTGGCAGACACTGCTCACATTACGTTCACAACAGCAAAGGCAAAGCACTTTACAGTCACCAAAAAACTACCGAAAATCACTTTGCAGTTAACATTAGTCAATTCTCACTAATGATAAGTAACAACAACAATTCTGATCAATAATCACTGAGCTACACAATCACGGCCATGTTCAATCACAATGGAACAAAGCTTAGTATAGTGCATAGTGTTGCTGTGTCGAGGCGCTTGGGTAAACCACAGCTGACAAGTGAATCGAGAGAAGCATACGCGCTGGCCGGATGATAACCATCGTTCATGCGGATTGTTTATGTCATACTTAGGAGTGTGGTCTTAATATTACACCATTGCTAAAGCGGAATGCCGTAGATCAGGGTGTGTGTGTGTGTATATATATATATATATATATATATATATATATATATATATATATATATATATATATATATATATATATATATATATATATATATATATATATATATATATATATATATATAAACCGAAAAGACCCCAGCTAATTAATAAGGTGCTACAAAAAAGTCTATAAATGAGCTATATACCTGTACAGTACTTACATCTGCAACAGCATGAGACTCAATGAACTGGACAAAGCCGTGCTTGCTGCTTGTTGCTAAAACTTTATATGGAGTGAGTCTCAGGTCCAAGTTCTCTCGACGCAAAAGTCTGTCCATGAGTGTTATGATCTGAAAGAGACGAGACCTTGTTGTTCTACAGATGTATCAATGTCTTCACTCTCTTGTCACATCCTCCTTTTATCATTCCACACATCTCGTTGGCTGCCTCCAGTGTAGCACTCATAATATGATACTACAGTGGTTCTAACTAAGCTAGTCTACAGTGTCTGTTCAATGTCTAATCCATTTTTTAAAATCAAATATTCATAGCTTTATCCTCCAAATTATCAACCTTTGTTGTACGGAGTACTTGGCTTTTTATTTGCTTTTCTTATTCTGAACTACTTAGCTAAACTTTAATGCTCCCTCCCATGCATCCAACTGCCATGTGCTCAGACAGACCATCACCCAAACAGCTTTTAGTTATCTTACATCAATGTTATCATACATAATGTACTCTACCCATCCTTCATATTTCTCATACCAGAAACACATCTATTAAACTTCTTCCCAACCTGTCTTCCCAATGTCTATATAATTACTATAATATGTGATGTGTACAGTAAATGTTTGTGTTCAAAATAGGTGTCTTGTACCATACTTGGTACACACCCATAACTACAGTATTTTGCATTTCCTAAACCTATTCTTATTTTCTCCCAGCACTCCAAAATGTCCAGCTATTCCATACTTCACTCTTATTACCTATCCATTTAATCAGGTTTCTCAACACACTCAGCCTCTACCTTATCTCCACACTTTTAACTTCTCTTAACATAATCCAAGAACTAATTTGATTTAATTCTTCCCACCATTACACACAGCACTATTCTATCCACTTTGAATCTAACAACTATAAGAGTAATATTATACAATTGACATACTGATATACTATATATATATATATATATATATATATATATATATATATATATATATATATATATATATATATATATATATATATATATATATATATATATATATATATATATATATATATATATATATTCTTGTTAATCACTGCAATACCTTCAATCGTGTTTCACAAATTCCTAATGCATTTTTATCATCCTTTCTAAACATTTTCTTTGTATCCACTCTAACAATTCTTATTCATGCCACTTATGACAGTAGATACACCAAACTGATTATAGTCTCATAAATTTCATGGAACACAGAATCTCATAATGGTTTTACTTGTTAGAGTAATACACTGTTCTCACCTGAATAATGAGTTGATCCTGTCGCAAGTCATCTCCATGTTTGAAAATGGCAACATACTCCCCTCCTGATATTGTGTTAAATGTCAGTCGGGATGGCTCCAGTGCTGATTTGAATAAACTTGCACGTTCTGGCACAATTCCAGTAACTATTACCTGAAGATAAATACAAAAATATATACAGTACACATAATTATGTGTGTGTGTGGAGGGGACGGGTGTGTGTGCAAACATGACACTAAAAAGGTAATACTGTATTCAGGGCTGGATTAAGAGTTTTGTAGGACCTGGGCACTTTTCTATCATAGGCCTCTAAATGTGCCAATGTACTGTTGATTTATAAGCCTTATTTAAACTTAGATCAAAATTGTTTCCTTGGGAATGCACTTGTTTTCTTAGCACTATAGCTAACTAAACTATATATTGTTACGGTCATCTCCCCTTTCCCTCAATATTTGTTTCAGTTACCGATTGTATTTAGTTTCTGTTGTTTCCCGTTTTTCTTTAGAATCAAATTTCCAAGCTTATGGTAAAGACTTTAAAAATTGTCTTGTATGTATACTAGTATTTGTTTCATTATGTAAACTTTGTAGAATTTATTCTTATTTTTTTCATACAGTTATGAAAGACTGTAAGAAGCAGGTGTGAAGTATATAAGAAGAATTAGAAATTATATGTTGATTAAACAAGAAAGTATTGGAATATTGTTTTGGTTTTGAAGTACTCTCGGTAGCTAGGTTGAGGAGGATAGGAGGGCACTAGTAAAACATTCACAACAAATGTATTTATAATATATATGTAGGAATAAAACAAATTACAGGTCATTTTGTAATTTTGTCTGTTCTGTTCAGGGCAGTGTTACCAGATATTTTGTCTCAAACACGAACCGTAGGTGTATACTTATTCTTGTGGCCGACTGTACACACGTATTTAATTAATTTATTTTTTAGAAAATACACACAGTATCATACAGCATACTGTACAGGAACATTACAACATAGCTAAACAAATACTGGGGAATAAAGACCAAAAATAATCTATTATAGCTCCCAATATATGTTCACACCTGTGTACACATGTGTGGTATTTGTGTCACAGGTGTGGATGAATGAGGACACTAGGAGAGTACTGTACTGAATTCCCTATAAGTGAAACAATACAATGACTCATCAAAATTATAAGTACAAATGATTTAGATATATGTCAATAGATATGATAACTATTCCTTACAAGGGTGACCTAGAAATAGTTCATAATTTAACCATTAAAACTCTAATTAACACAACCATAACCTAAACCATCTTCCAGTCAATACATTAACAGGTCTGTAGAGCCTTGCTGAGTGATGCTGAACAAATATGGTGAAGAAATAAAGCAAACAACCACAAGAAGAGTACAAAGAAGAGTATCCAAAGAGTTTCAATCTGTACCGATAAATGATCAAGGAGGTCCAGACAAATCCTGAGCTGATATATATTTTCTTTTATGGACCAATACAAGTGCTGTACATGATACATGAAGAATGAAGACAAATATTTGATTACCATGTAAAGAATCACATTTTTAAAAAGGCACAGAAAAAGTTTAACATAAATAGATTACAGATGAAAATAATGTTCTCTATTCATTGAAATGTTCAGCACTATAGTAAATACAGTAAAGTATAATGTAAAAATCACTTCAATAAAATAAGAGCCAACCACATCACTGCCCTATTGACCTTTCTGGACCACAGCCATGGTCAACCATCTGTTGTTCATAAACTTTTCCAAAACTACAAGTTCACTTCTGAGGAAACTTTCCAAATGTGTTAAGTGGATAAATTTCTTTTAAAATTCTGTCAGTTACAGACAATGATGCAATACCCACTGCATTGCAATACAAAGTAGTGGTTAAATAAAATAGTCATATCTTATATAGTGATAAATGAATCTATTTACAGGTTTCCCTTGGGTTGGTGCTTTTTATCTACAGGTACAGTATACCCTTCTACCCCGATGTATTATGTACGTATTAGCAGGCAGTCTTTAAAACTATGTGGCATAGGCAAGAGAGAAATGTACATGATAGAACATACCGTAATATAAATATTGTGTCTGCAACTTTTGCCAGATCTTACCTCAGGGTCCAAGGGAAGAGCCAAGGGTTCAAAGCTGGCAAAGTTAATTTTCAAATTCTCAGAATCAGCTAACATGGTCTGTAATTTCTCAATTTTGCGCATGCGATTACCACTTTCACGTGCTACAGCCTGAAAAACACAAATACACAACAGTAATGATATTAAATATTATTCAACAAATTTTTACTACTTCTTCACTACTTCTAAGATTTTGTTTACATATCCACCAACATTTATTTTTTCAAAACATCTAAATAATGTGAATGATGGTGATGAAAAAGTAACTAATGAGTTTAGAAAAGTAAACAATCATGAAAGAATTCAAACAGTTTTAAGTCTTGTTAACTTTTGTAATGCTGCATCATTTGAGGATAGAGGACTTCATTAAGGTCTCTTGTAAGCTGTATTGCACATAAGAAATGAAGTATTGTATATAGTACAGTACAATTTACACACAGATAGAACCAATGAAAAAAGCCCTCAGTGTAAGAAAGAACTTTCCTTTACTTCTACCACAAGTGTTGCTATGAGCAATCAAGGACAATCAACTTCATTAACATTAACCAAGAGCTTTGTCATTCAACAAATATTTCGTAGCCACGAGTCTTCACTATTAAGGAAGGTGTTTTAACTCTACAATTTATGTAATCTTAAATATGAATCACATTCTTTGCCCAACTCACTTTGTGCCCCTTCTTAATCAGCCAGGCAAAAATGTGGTCATTTTGCGTAGTTTAAAATTTTCCTTAACATAAGAAAAATAAGTGTAATAAAATGTATAAGTAGGTCAGTATAAGGATGCCTAAGAAGCTTGTGAGAACATTTCTGCAGTCACTCTTGATGTAATTAAAAAAAAGTCAAAGATGTTAAGATATGCTTAAGGAAAAATAATTAATCTTATACTTAAAACAATAAAAACAACTTACCTTTACAAGAGCAACAAGTTGATCTAAGAAGTGATGTTGTCTTGTCAGTAAGAGTCGAGATGACCGTGCTTCTCGGCACCCTTGCTGCAGAGCTAACTTGAAGCGGCGCAGTACCCACACATACATTTCACGAACCTAAAGCAGAAAATGATTGCAGTTCTAATTTCATGAAATAATTGTTTTTAAATGGTAGCACAACCCTCTCTCTTAGTTGCAGCAGAAGAGCTGTCTCTCTGTCTACAATGGGTATACAGTACAGTACAGTGCAGTATTGAGTGTATCAAATTCACAGCTAATACTTTATATACCCTGTAATGTATTGTGTTTCTCTTTTTTGCAGCCGATAGCTAATCCAAACAATAACAGTGCTAATGAGAGGAGTTTTGACATGATGAATGTAAATAATTGAAAAACAACACGCAATTTTGAGAAGAGACCAACAAGCAGGAGGAAAGATGTCCAGTAAACTCCCTCGAACTCGCTTAATCTGGATCCCCTTGCAAACCAGACTGGAGTCCAGCACCAGGCATATGAATCCCCCAACCCAACAGAAAAAAACCAAAATCCAGTTAATGTGAAAGTTTGTTTAAGTGGGGGCTGCCACTGTGGTGGCACAGAAGGGTAACTTAATAGCTGCTTCTGAGGAGGCAGTAGAAGTGTCTAAGAAATATGAATAGTGTACAGTACATAATTATTGCCAATGAAATTAGCAATGAAAACATAGCCTCTGCTCTGCCTTTGGTGGTGTACATTGCGTCATACAATCATCTCTTGCCTCAACCACCTCAGAAACAACCACCTCATGATAATTAATAATAAAAAAGTACAGTAGCTACGTACATTATTATTAACATGTACTAATGTGCTTCTATTTATCATAAACAGACATATAATAGGGAAGTAAATAATGTATACCAAAAGAAATATTGTTAGCACCAGAAGGACTTATGGAATTGCATCAAATTTTCAGATGTTGTTTGGATGATACTGAGTAATAATATCAAAGTGACATCACTGTTGTATTTGTTCTTCTTTTTAGCCTATCTTTTGATCTTAAGTAACTTGTTAGTAGATAAGATATAAAAGAAGAGGGAAACAGCAGGGTAAAAACACTGTGAACACTGATAATATGGCAGTAATTTCACGACTCTACGTCCATTGTAGGCGAAGAAATAAAACATTTACCGTATTTATGGCACTTTCGGATCTCCCGTGGCGACCATGATTTGGTTCACGTCGTCTGTTATGCGGGAGCATCGGCAGTCTTTGTTTACATCAAGAAATAAACGATGATCTCATCAGGCATGTTTATTACAATTTATATCGGATTGAATGTACCTACAGTACTGTAGTAAAAAATCGAAACGACAATGCACAGGTTAGGAAGTTCGGTCAGGTTCTAATAGGGTCTGTGGATTCTCATTTCCATTTTCATGTTCAGTATAATGCAAATAGTATCTCCAGAGTTTGGGTTAAATTTCTGGTGCTAACAGTCTCCTCCACCTTTACCCCCCCCAATTCTTTAACCATCATACTATACTTACCTTTTCCTGTTTTCAAAATACGGAAGCTAAATACAGACTGACAGATCACCTGCAGTTTAGTTCCCCGGCTTACTTCACCTGACGATTAAACACCCTAATGCTACCTGGGGTAAGGTTAAGTTAGATTACCTTAGGTTAGCATTAGAGTAGTTAATCTTCAGGTGAAATAAACTGGTGGCTAATCTTCAGGTGATCCAAAATAACTCTTCTTATTTTGATCCAAGTTGTTCTCCCAATTACCTTAGCATCGTGTTTGAGCCCTGCATCTTGGTCCTCACACTCTACCAGCAGGTACCAGTACAGGTAATTTGCCAATGTTGGGTTTCTTGCAGCACGCTGAATAAGAAAGGAGGCCAAATCCAGGTCTGTGTCCATATCTGCTAATTCAGGCAACAACCCTGAATCTGGAGCAGTAGCTGATGGATCTGAACTGTCTGGCTCTGCTAGGAGTGAAGACGATGGGGATCGTTGGATTGTTGCCGCTTCACTCTCTTCTAGTGATGATGAAGTGGACTGTGTAAGATCACCACCAGTTGAGCCAGAAGATTCACACATTTTCTCCTGAATAGAATCCTCAGGAGTCCTCTCTTCTGTATGACATGTATCCCCACTTGTGTCACTTGCTGATGAATAATGTGATACATCACACAGGCTCATGTCAACATTATCTAGTGCCTCATATTTCAGAGCCTGGACAAGCTGCAACAGGTAGAGTAAAAGATCTTCATCAGTAGCAAGACTCAAGCGTTCAACAGCATAGCGTCGGACATCAGGATGAGTAAAGCCGGGACCGAGTAATTCTAGTGCATCGTCAGCATCTGGTGGGACCCAACGTCCCAACAACTCAATGGCTTGTTTTGCTTCACCTGTTAATTTCCAATTAACACATTTGAGAAATTTTGTCAAAGCCTTTTTCTGTGTGCTTAAGTAAAAACGGTACTTCCATACCATGTCCTGCTCATCACTTGACAGCTGTTTTGTGGGAGGATATTCCATAATTGTGTGAAGGCTGTCTCTGATGGCTGAATTTGGTTTTAAGTCTCTGTCAGTCACACCAGAACGCAGGGATCTTGCTAACCTGTGGTGCTTGGCTTCTTGAAGGTTCTCAAGAGCAATCTCAGGATCTGGCATACGAACCATATTACCCGAGGTTCGATGATCATACTCGACACTGCCCCCTCGCTCCCACCACACTATGGAGTAAATAACTCCTTCGTGCTCCACCCGAGGAAACTCCACCATCAGATACATTGAGTTTGATGAACGCTTCTCTTGTTCGTTTATCAGTTCAATTTCACGGAAAGTTAATCGGTCTAACCAATCCACTTTCATCATTTGACCATTACGGTGTTTCTTGGCAAGTTTCGCGAGGCGTTGCATTTGATCCTTTCCATGGTCTTGTCCCTTTCCAGGAGTGTGAATATGGTCAGCGATACGGTTTGGCCACACTCGTAAATCATGGAGCCCCTGCCGAAACACTCCATGTTTTCCAAAGAAGGATATGGTTGTGCCACCAATAGGCTCATTCCTGCGAGGTCCATAGGTATCATATATTGTGAGAGCCAACACAGCATTTCGTGGTAAATCACTAAAACGAAGGGGCAAAGTTAACCACTCATTCCAGTTCCAACGAGCGGAAAATGGTTTGTATGATGTGCGCACTGGAAGGGTGAGTTCTCGACCATCAGAAAATACCTGGCAAGACACATAGAGATCGGAGCAACCCGGTTGGTAGAGCCCAGAGTATTTAAGCAATGGATTTTTCAAGAGAGCCTCGTAGTTAGGCTTCTCTCTCTTCCCATCTAAAGTTCCAATTTTCACTTGTATATCCACATCTAAATCACAACTGTGCACATACCAGAATTTATCACTGTCAGGTTCCATTTTGTACTTAAATAATAAAGAAAGTCACACTCATTGCAGCATAAATGAAGACACATTCGTCAACTCAGATCAGCCTGACTCGCCTGACTCGCCTCCGTCCCTCAGCTGTAGGTAAACATCACACTGAGAGGCTACGGGCTTAAACTATTTACTGGCATGAAAGGAAAAACTGAACGGTGTTAATATTTACCATATATATTGAATAATTATGTTCATATAAAATATTTAAAAGTGAATTAAATTTTATAATAATTTAATATTGCATAGGGAATGAAAAAATTATAAATGTGCTTTATCCTATTTACTACGGCCGAACTTGGATTGTTTCCTTGTTGAATGGATATTTATCGAATATTTTAGTTTTTTCATCATGTGAGAAGAATCATAAACTTTTCCTATTATAGCATTGTCGTGTTAGAGAGCGACTGTCCTATCCTTTAAAGTAACAAGTAGAATAAAAACAAATATAATTCCTAAAATAACTCACAACTAAAGCTCTACTGAATAACTTTGATTAGAGCTAACTTTAACTATAATAATTTTCAGAACTAGTTATTCTTAATTTTGTAAATCAAATATTGAAAGAAATGGCCAGTTCCAAGATGGTGTAGTGCCCATAAATTGTCAGTATCCCGTCGCCGCCATTAATTGTCCTCTTACTGAAAAGGGTGAATGTGTAACATGACATTCCACTCGTTTGAAATCATTTATCTTGCTTGATTTGAGGCATTATTCAGGTTTTGTTTTCAAAACTTTCATTTTCTAAATAAGCATAAATAAGTTTGTGTTATGATATCTCGATGAATATCAATAGCTAATCGAGGATAATTGGAAGCACCTCAAAATAAATCTATAAAAAGAATATATACAGTTCTTAACCAAAAAACAAGTTAACAACTTAGTAGGCCTACTGATAAATTGTACATAATATACAAATAATAGTAAATATGAGTTAGGCTTTGACAAATCAGATTAAATGTAAGTAGAAAAAGAAACTAACAAGGCGAACACCAAACGACGTAATTTTTTAATTAAGAGTCCAGTGACAGCTGTGATAAGCAATATGAAATGCTACATCCTCTCTTCACAGAGGCAACTCCCGTCACCACTTCACGACTCCTACCCTCAAATATATACAGATACACACAATACTATTGTTACAATGTTATATGTAACAGATTATGTAACTCAAACTCATAGTAATAACCAGTAACAACTGTTGCTGCTTCACGTTGGTAAACATATATGCACACAAACACTTAAGAAACGCTTGGACACACACACCAATAAACACCTACATCAGACAACATTCTAGCTTATACCCCACACACCTACGTATAACTTGTCTTCCTTCAATTACACAGTCGAATGTGTTACTATGAGGTAAGAGTCCTTCGTCACTCCCCCATCTTAATTACAGTGTTTATCACCAATGTACTGTGCGTCAGTAAGCCCGGATCAGATTACAGATTGCCCACGAGGGGGCTAGTTTATTGGGCACCCCCTTACATCCTGTGTAAGGTGAAGCGCAGAAGCGTTTACAGCGCCCAACTGGGAAGCATGCGGAGTTCATGCTTGCCTTTATGACTCATGCATTAAGGGCGTAAAGACCTGAAGGGTCATTGGTTTTGTCAGCAAGTTACATAAAGTGACATAATGATGAGTGTGTGGGGAATTCGGTACAATTTATCTGTTTATGGCAAAGTGTGGCAGGTCTAGGATGGCAGAGGTTCTTGGCTGACCTAGAATCTTAATCTCGCCAGGCAGTGAACTAAATAAATAAACATTACAATTAAAACACCAAGTAAAAAGATTGACACGAGGAGACGGAGGAGATTACTGTAATCGTAGTAGCAAGACAAAGATTTCCTCTCTGAACTAGAACATGATCATTGGCCACGGCAACTTACTGTGAACTTATGATAGTAGGACGCTCAACATTGTGTACAATGACGGGAAAGCAAAGTTAAAATTAAACAGCATTACTCACACACAAAACCAAAATTAAACTCCTTTGGTATAGTTTAATAATCATAAACACGACAAAATAGTAATTCATATACAGGAGCTAAGTGAAATATATATCAATGTTTGTTAACAAGAATATATCACACTTGTATGTTTTTTTTTATCTCCCCTTGTCGTGTACAGCATGAGGTACGATATGTCTGGTCATCCAGGGATTTCCGCCTTGTCTGAAAAAAGAAAAAAAAAAAACTATCAAGTGTGTGCGTTGATACTCCGAAAAATAAACCAAGCTGTTATATTCATGATTTTAATCTCTAAAGCATATAGAAATCCAGATATGCTCAACTGTTAAATAATGTGAGACTGAGAAATGTGTAAAAGAGGAAGGTACACAAGAGCAGTGACTCAGGACAGGTGTAGTGACTGGTAAACACGGGGAATGCCAGGGTGGCCTCATACAGCCACAAACAAGGGTCACGTCACAAGACAGACTGTGAATTTGTTTCAGAATATAATGAGGACGATGTTAATGCAACCACAAGATTACTGATACTGGATGAGTGTACAATTACAAGATTTGCTGTACCGTACATCAGTTAGTATCAAGACTGAGTTTACGTGCAGCGTTGTGCAATGTATCTTGACTAGCTGAAAAATTCAACCTAGTAACGTTTAATAATCAGCATTACGTAAAAATAAAACTAGGCTAAAAATTATATGTAAATTCAACAACTAGGATCTGAAATCTCTCCTACTGACCTCCCAGAGTCTCTGGCCAAAACTTCATAATGATATGATCTAAAACTTTAACAATTCACAGTGTTCTTGGTAAACCTTATACTGCAGTGATAGACCCAATAATGCTCGGAATTTTGTATAAAAAAAAATTCGTCTTGATTAATCGCCATAAAATTCTGTTTCGCATCAGACAATCTGCGACGACAAATCAGAGGACGCTCAGTACAGGATATATACCCCAAATTAGTACACTTTACATTAGCTAAATAAACAATTAACAGCTAAACAGTATACAAATGACGTCCTAAAAAATCACCATTGATTTTTGCCTCCGATTGTATATTTTGAAATCCTTACAGTAAAGGAGATATTTTTGTATTTACAGTAACTTGTATCAGAGAAGAAACGTCCACATTTTGTGTCAACTGAGAAATATATAGGCCCTAAATTTAAAAGCCACTAAAATGTATCCACGAATAGAAATAAAGTAATATCAACGTGTCCTTTAATTTTAAGCCAAAGGTAAATATAATTATTTTTAAGAGCACCATGGCAGGTAATCATTATAGCCGAAGGTTGTCGTGTCGCTGGGTCAGCCTTGTCATAATGTACTTATACATTTATTTATAGATAAAGGATCGGTCCAGATATGAAGGTATAGCCTGCGAATGTAATTACTGAAAAAAAGATAAAAAAATAATTTCCACCTCATAGAGAGGAATATAAAAATAGCAGGCAACGGGTAAGTGATAAGTTTGCTGAATGATTGTTGTTTTGTCAATTGAAGGAAACTAAGGAAAAAAAGAAGAAAGGATTAAAACTCTGCACTGGGATTCACTGGACACATTTTAATCCAAGACGAATACAGTATATTTCAGTCAATCTTACTCGACTTTTTTAGATATGATAAAAAATAAATTGAAAGTGTATAAATAATTACTCCCCATGCAAACCATAGAGTACCTGAATAAAAAACTAAAATGAATAACTAAATAAATAATAAATAAATTGTTTTTGCCACAACACTGTTAGTCGCTACCGTGTGGTCTGATGTAGTGTAGTGTAGTGTAGTGTGGTGGGAACGATACAAGTGTTCATTGTTTCTACGTAACCCAGATAATGCCATATTTTACCCTCCCATAACTCCTCCATTCCCTCCCATTCCTTTCCTTTATCCCTCTTCCACCACACCACTCTCATTACCCCTCTCTCTTCACCCTATATTTATCCCTCTCTTATAACTTTCTTTTTACCCTTGTCTTCTTCAACCTCTCTATATTTCTCTTATTCCCTTTCTATTATCCTCCCTTCACACTGTCTTCCTTCATTTACCCTCTTACTATCAATTCTCCTTTTATTCCTCCCCATCATCATCCCCTTATGGTCATCTATCACTTCTCCCTTCCCCCCCTCGTCTCCCAGCTGGTCCTTCACACACTACCCGTCTGATAGTCATTTGTTTCACATTAGACATTTAGGTATGAAGAAGATATTCGAACGAGGATAGCTATTACTCTCCCTTTTATTTACTGTTTACAATATAGTTAATTATTATCCTTTATTTTATTATTCTCTATTTACCACACAGTTGATCAAGAAATATACGTAGTGACCTGTTGAAATATTTGGGCCTAAAGCATGTGTGAGTAGATGTGAGTATATCCACGCCTGGGGTGAAGTGGAATGGGTACTGCTTTCCCTTTTTGTCTGTATATTCACAAACGTAACGTAACGTAACGTAACCTAACCTAGAAAGATGTGGGGAGCATTAAATGAAAAGTGGGTAGTGACGTCAGGGAGGATGAGGAGAGAGAACCACTGAGTTGGAGGAATACAGTGAGTAAGGTCGGGGGAGGTGAGACAAGGCAAGTCCAAGGAAAACACGAGAAAGGGTATAGGAGGAGTCCACGGTGGTATATCCAGCGTATCAACAGAGATATTAAAATGAAAACGATTAAAAAAAAACATACAACAGCAAAAAAGAGGAGTGTATTGATATAGTAATAGTGAGGTTTTCCTGCTCGAAATTTTACATTAGGTTGGATTATCAGGTAAACATGTTTTCGTGGCCCACTGTTGATGTAAGTTTCATGAGGTCTAATTGCGTTTGCGGGAATTATGAAGGAAACACAGATACTGTAGGTACATGAATATTAATAAGTATACATGAATATTGTCATTTATACGCCCACTTCATAGTCAACAAGGTAAATTTATGAAATGAATTCACTTTCGCAAAGCATGACTAAATTTTAAAGGCACATTTTCATCATTATGTCTGATACTGAACTTGTTATGACATCCATGGGAAAGTGATTACGTCGCCCCGTGTGAGAGATATATAAGGCGCTCTTGTTGTCATGGCTCCAGCTGCCTCACACACCAACATGATCCTCTACACCGCGCTAGTGGCCGCGCTCCTCACAGGTACAGTAAGTCGCTTATAACAGAAACAAACGAAATCAATATAGTGTCGGGTTACAAGACTCAGAGGTGTGTAGACTCATAAGTGCTTGTCATAACTGGTGACATAAACAACGACATGGCGCTACGGGGTACTTTACCTAACTTGCTGACCTACACCAGGGGGTGAAATAACTCCCTGAGGCAACCAATTTAATAGATAGATAGATATTTCTTAAGTAAAATCGTCATATAAGGTCACAATGATTCTACACGTACATTGACAGAGCAAGTAGGTATATAAACAATGGTAAACAGTAAGTCGATCCGATAAAATATCTTTACACAACCCGTGGCCCAAAAATCTAAAAATCATAAAATTCTAGCTTTTAACACAAGCATTACCCAAGAACTTAAAAAACAACAACAACAACCAAACGTTAAATTTTGAAATAATAATGATATTCTATTCGCTATAACACAAATTGAATATGGTGTAGTCGACCTATAATCTTTAAAATGTAAAACAATGATACACAGTTGACGAAACAGGATACTTTGCTCATCATAGCTCCGACGGCTACCCTGACAGGAGTGAACGGGTGCTCTCCTGGGTTTGTGGACATCAACGGTGAGTGCTTCTCCTTCAGACCGGAGGTGTCCTTGGACTGGGAAGACTCTCAGGTCTACTGTACCAACACCAGTTACTCCATCGGCCTGGCTGAGGTCAAGAACGCCAACACCCACAGGGAAGTCTATGAGTACATCAAAACCTATGGTGAGTGTGTGTGTGTGTGCGAAGGAAAAGTTTGTGTAAGAGAGAAGGTGTTTGTGTGTGGAAGACAGTACCCGGGGGATCAGGGGATATCTGCGCTTTTGTGGAGAAGTGTTCGTGTGTTTGAGTGCGTATGTATGGGTGCGTTTACAGATTCCCGGTTGTATTAAACTAAGCATCATCTTAAATTTCATGTGTGTCTCCCCGCCAGGTCTTACTGGTTCCTTCTGGCTGGGGGCGTCAGACCTTGAATACGACGGTGACTGGGTGTGGCTGGACGGCACCAGGGTCGAGAGAGGCACTCCCTTCTGGTCTCTCCACTACGGGGTCCTTGGCACGTATCTCCGTCTCAATAGTTTTCTCTCTCTCCAATCGATAGCTTGTACCAACTTCCTCTCTCGAATTAACCAACTCCTCAACTCCCTGCCTTGTTTCATTAACACATACCACAACTTCTTAATGTCACCATTGTCTTGTTACCATGCAGTAAGCACGACAGTATTAACTTGACAACTTGTAAGGCCTACACAAGGATCTATAAAGGTTTCATCCAACGTAAAATCCTTATCTAACATAAACTCTCCTGACCATTAAAACTCAACCCTCCTCCGTCTTCATGGCGTCTTACAGGCTGGTCCCAGGAACCTACCGGCGGCGCGGAGGAGAACTGCCTGGCGTTGGACAGCGGACGCTTCTTTTACTTCAATGATGTCGCCTGTGACAAAATGAACCACCCTATCTGCCAGGAGGCATAGACGAAGATTTTGTGATGAGAAGGTGGCGACGGCGCTGCTGGAGTAGCGATTATGAATGAAGTAGAGACCATCGGGTGACGAAGCTGCTGTATAATCTATTGCAGGTATACTCGTTGCTACCGCTGAAGGCAGATCCCCAAAAGTTATCGTATTACTGTACTCTAAGCAGTAATATTAAATTTATTGTAGGAAATTGAAAATAAATTACCGATGGACCTTCCGTAGTGTTGTATGAGACGTAACAGTGTAAAATAAACAATAAATATAAGACAACGAACTATAGGTTTTCCCTGGAAAGTAAATTTACATCCCGACATTCCAGACCTTCTTATTCTATAATATAGTAAACGGAGAAATTAAAAAAAAAGTTTATTATTCATCCTTTAGTTAATAAACACCAATAAATTGTTAATATTAATGGAGCAAAAGAGACACGGCAGACAATACATCTTGTTATTGTTTATGATCTTGTGAACAATATAGTATGTACGTGTATATACTACTGTACTGCACGTAATAAACCATATCATATCCCTTCGAAAAAGTCGTGAGAAAGGACACCAATTTCCCCCACCTTTTCTTAATTCTGTCTCGTGTCATTTTCTTCGTTGTCACTTCTTCCTTCTTAACACTTTTTGTACTGTTTTCCTCTACTCACTCTTTCTTTACTCTATTGTAAATCCCTCTTCTCTTACTCAATCTCTTTTTAATGTATTTTTTTTATTCTCTCTCTCTCTCTCTCTCTCTCTCTCTCTCTCTCTCTCTCTCTCTCTCTCTCTCTCTCTCCAGTGACCTCTTCCACTGAGTTTGAATGAATGAGTTTAAAATAAATAATATAACTTGAAAATATAAAGTCATAGTTTTTTAATATATACCAACAGCTTACTATATAAAGTAAAATATCAATTTACCAAATATACTTTAGATTTATAACGCATAATTTTATTTTACAATGTAGAGTTTGAGTTAAAATGTATAGTTTAAATTTATAGTGTATAGTGTTCGTTTATAAGCAGTAGTGCACCTGCCTTATACAGTGTTGCATTTAAGACCCTTTAGTCCTGGTAATTAAAGCTCATTCTCCCTCATTACTCCCGGACTGGCTTGAGAGGTGGTGGAGTGCCTCAAGGGAACACACTTCCCACTTTGTTCTTAGTCAAGTGCCTCTACACCAACCTAAAAAAGAAAGACAATTTGTAACGAGAAGAATCTATATGCTGTGAATAACCAATATAAACGAATGAATAATATAAACAGAATGACTGGATGGATAAGGGGGATAATATAAGGACGAATTATAACAAAGGATTAAATATACATTGTTCATTATGCATATTAAGGTACAATAAAGGTAGTATTTCTTCATCAGCTGTTGTCTGGATTTTAGAAACTTTTTAGTGAATGGATATCTTGTCTCGATGACGTAAGAACACTGGCAGTATTTACGTGTAATGGAATATATCTGTTTTCAAGCCCAGTTTATTTAGGACTGACGCTCATATTTCATCAGTATATAATTATTGACTTTGCTGATAGCGTTGGTATATTCGTGGAGGTGACCTTGGCAAGACTAGTGCGTGTTTGCTTCGCTTGAAAACAATAATGTATAAAATTATGCTCTTTTTCCCTTGACGGGCGGCTCGCGTTTAGGCTAAGTGGTGTTTTTTGCTGGATGAGTGGCATAGCTGGTAGAGGTAGGTGGAGGTGGGTGGTGGGGCAGGTGGAGGTGGGTAGTGGGGTAGGTGGAGGTGGGTGGTGAGGCAGTTGGAGGTGGGTAGTGGGGCAGGTGGAGGACGGTAGTGGGGTAGGTGGAGGTGGGTGGTGAGGCAGTTGGAGGTGGGTAGTGGGGCAGGTGGAGGAAGGTAGTGGGGTAGGTGGAGGTGGGTGGTGAGGCAGTTGGAGGTGGGTAGTGGGGTAGGTGGAGGTGGTGAGGCAGTTGGAGGTGGGTAGTGGGGCAGGTGGAGGAAGGTAGTGGGGTAGGTGGAGGTGGGTGGTGAGGCAGTTGGAGGTGGGTAGTGGGGTATGTGGAGGTGGGTGGTGGGGGTAGGGGAGAGGGGAGATGATGGATGGGGCATTGTATAGTTGAAAGGTATCGCAAAAATCGCCAGGAAATTCACACTAATTCAGCACGACCATAAACAGTACAGACATAGAAACGATAAAGAGTACAGTATGTGGATTTAACCGATGACCGCCCAGGAAAGCTGTTGGAGGCTTATATCTTCTGTGGTCCTAATGACTCTATCAAACTATATTGTGTTTAGACTGATTAAGACTACAAGGGTCTCCCAATAGTACATTACTGTATATCAGTAATTTAAATGCCTTTCAATATTGCCACAGCGTCATCACCGTATTGTTTGGGTCTATTTTTAAAAGGCTCTATTTTCAAACGTAAGTAGACCTTGTATTCTATAGAAACCATGCACCTTACAACACTGACCTTTGAATTAAACTTTGACCTGTGCGCTAATACAAAATTCATCTCCCAAGGAAAACATTTACATATTGTTGTTTATATACCAGTTTATTAATATTTTATTTTAACCTCATTCTGATGCCAAAAGAAACATCAAGCACAGTACAATTTGCTCTAGATTCATCATAATTCTGTTACAACACCTGACACATTCTCGAATTTTAACACGTGAATTTTGACTTGTACAAGACCAGACCCAGCTGTGAGTGACGGCTGGCTCAACACTTATCACAACTTAATATTTTCCTTCAATTTAAATCACAGAAATCTCCTCCTCTCAGGTTTCTTTATATCACGAAAGAAATGAGATTTGGTTCTTATTACTCACCGTTGCCTTACGTGTGTGTGTGTGTGTGTGTGTGTGTGTGTGTGTGTGCTTAATAATGGTTGCCCCTCTTGTACAAGGATGAGACGCCCTATGAGCCACCTAGGCGTGAGTCTGTTTAAGGTGTAGAAGCTGTCGCCAACACAAGAACCACACCCTCAGTTAATGGGCTGCTGACCCAGTGTCAAGGAATAGTCCAAGAAGACCGGACAATTCGAGTGACATACAGGTTCCCAATTACTGCTGGGTTGACAGAGGTAAATGGCATAAAGAAACTTGCCCATAGTTTTACCTTGCTGAGTCAGCATGCTCGACCAATACACCGGTGTGTATTGTTGATGGTGAAATGCAACATCTAAAAATTAGCCCTCCCCAATTTATCTCACCCTAAAATTAACTTGGGAATGTTAAGTTAGGCTAGGTTAGGTGAAATCAGGCTAGGTCAGGTCAGGTTAGGTTAGGTTAGCTTTGCGTTAGGGTGTTTAATCATCAGGTGATGTAAGGTGTGATGCTAATCTTCATGTGATCCAAATTATTTGGTAATGTATACTTTAAAATATGTATAAATATTCCTCAGCACCGAGCCATTATTAGTGAGGGTTAGTTAAGTAGGTCGCCATGCCACTACGTCTTAACCGAACCTAAACATCAAGAAATGTCACGAGTCTTAATAAAAGGTGTTTTAGCCCAAACAATAGACTGCGTCAACTAAAAATATTGTGCGTGATATCCTGCCATCTTGAGTACACAGTTACACCTGAACTTATTTATGTTTTTCTTGCGGGACAATTTATTTTTTATTTTTATTTTTTAGTGTGGATTAACGAACCTAACAAATAATTCTTAGTAAGTTTAAGCTTATCCTTGTATCGTTGAAAATATTATATTGTTTTATTTTATTTTTCTTTCTCTTTGACCATTTCTTGACCACTGACCCACGTCACCTTGACCTGGATACACCTTCTTCAACCTCCTACACAAACAGGTGACCTTGACCTTGAGGGAAGTTCATAAGGATCTCATTTCTACAAAACCTCTCCCGCTCTGTTGTACTTGGGATAATGACAGTCCTAGGGTGGGTGTGGACAGTCAGTATTATTACTCCTGTACTGTGATTGGATGCTGAATATGTCTTGGATATCATACACTCACTCACAGCTTTCAATCACCCTGCTATTATTCTAAAAGCATTCTATATGAGTTTAAAATGCCCAAGCCAATCATGCAAGCAGAACTGTGTGGCTGAGAAAACCCCCCCGGAGGAGGTGTTGTCAGAGCGGCTCACCACCCCGGCCAGGTAGGTCCTCCTCTTTCCTCCTGCTGCCAACACCCCCTGGAGACCATAATAGTAACAAGTGATCCACATTATCAATGTAAAGTAAGTAAAAATACATAACGTCTCACACCAGATCCATTGACCACTGAAGCCCTTATTAAAAATCCTGATGTCTCCAAAATTTCGTGGTGAAAATACGTTACTGAATTTTGTAGTTAAGGAAGATATGAGTGGGAGAACATCCGTATGAAGAAGTACTAATATTAGCAAAAACTTCAAGAGAAATAATTGAAATGCAAATAAAAATAAAAGGAAGATACTTTGGTCATAAGATTAGTGATGAGGGGATAATAACAAATATTAATGAGCAAATGTGAGGGTAGGAGGGCCAGGGGAAGACAGAGACTGCGGTGGATGAATTAAATTAAAAACTGGGTCCCCAGTGAGATACGAAACCTTAGAGGATTGATAAAAAACAGCCGGAGAACGTTTAGGGTGTAGGACTATGGCCGGCATATTTGAATATGAGGATGGTATTTTGATTGACCAACAAAATACTAACTCAGACTGTTGTCGTTGGTATGATTATAAAATTATCGTCACGGGAATACATCCAGGGGTGGCAGCGACCTTCTCAGTCTGCAGAATGTAAATCGTTTAATACAATTTTCGAGAAAATTCCGACACAATCATGAATACGGCAACATTTGTAGCTCATTAAGTGTACCTTACCTTTAATTTCCAAATTTATGGCAGTGAAATGTATGATTGTTTGATGAATGATGTATTAATGTATATGTATAATTGGGCAGAGTTTTAAATACGCCTGACCCAAAATTATTGAAATTTGTCGATTTTCCCTATTTAGCGTGAAATATCTTTATGAACTGTGTGTGGCAGAGAGAGAGAGAGAGAGAGAGAGAGAGAGAGAGAGAGAGTTATGCTCTTGATAGCTTATTATGTTTATTCAATGTAAACATGACAGGTGACCACGAGGCGACCATCCCCGTGACCACCACCAGGAGGAACTTCCCCCCTCCAGCAGTGATCATGTGCCCGTTGTCTGCCGCCCTCTTCCTCTACTGCCTCCTGGTGGCCGCGCCCCTCGGCCCAGGTAGGTGGCTCACACCTCACAACCCTTGGAAGAGAACTTAGCACAAATAGCATAAGTTTCCCATAACCAGACGAATTACTACGTTGTTGTTGTCATAATGTAAAAGATGTGCTATTGCATAGGTCAGAGAAGCTGTTATGACATCTACACTTCACTAAAACTACATAATTGGGTGTTGTAGTTAACTTGACATCGTCGAGGTTCTGGACACCATTCTATAGTAAAAATATAAATTAAAAGACAAGGTATTCGATTTATATTCTTGTTATACAGTATTAATTTCAACAAACTTTTCTTTCTATAACTAAACTAAAACTGGTAGTTGTCTCACTGTGCCAGGAGGCGGTATAGTCATGATAGCAGCTGGTGAGACTAGCATGTTCGGCCTACACACTGAGGAGTCACCCAGGAGGAGACAAATGTGGATGCAGAAGGAGTTCGAGTTCCCGGAGACGACAAGTGAGGTGACCGTGTGTCTCCACTACCAGCTGATGGTCACCTACGGCCCTACAGCCTATATCTTCACCCTCGCCAAGAACCTCGGCTTCCTTGGTCAGTCGTCTCTCTACAATAAAAGACTTGAGTGAATCACATTAAGATTATCTCTCGCCATATCCTAATTCAACCTGATCTAATATAACATAACCTAACCTAACCCAATCTAATCTAACATAACATAACCTAAACTAACAGTAACCTGTCCCACCAGGTAGCGTTAGGGTGCTTAATCATCAGGTGAAATAAGCTGAAGGGACTAGTAGTCTCCACGTGATCCATTCCAATATTTAGTAATGTTTGTCTTTTGTCCATTCGCCTTTCATTTCCTCTCCCTCAACAATACACTGACTTATTTCAAGATTTTCCATCTTGTCATCTGTTTACTTTCATTTATATTCATTTCCTTGAACATTACACACCTCTCCCACCTACCGACATCCTCCCGTCTTCCCCGGATCAGCCATAAACAAATGAGAGCTGTGTGACCTCCCGCACATTAGGTCGTCGTATAGCGCACAGGTCTTTAGAGTTATATGATTATTATGATCCATTTACGGACATCTTCCTTCATTTCCTTCAAGATTGGGAGTTTCATTTAATAAGTCTCCTCCTTACATCGTGTTTCTTTCACGGTATATGACAAGCTGTAAGGGTAGTATTTTATTAAGTTTGTCACTTGTTGTTTTGACGTGTGGCCACAGTTAAGGACGAGCAGTACGGGGTGGCGCTGGACAAGATGCACCTGGAGCTGGAGGAGACACCTGTACCCTGGAGGTGGACGCACGCCTGTGTGGTGTTCGGGCAGGACCCAGCCGTCTACCTGAACGGTAAAACCACCCAAGGCGAGCTCATGGGACCAGGACTATCACTGAATATGGCGGTGAGGGCATTCTTTGACAACTTAAGAATTCATTAATTATATATGATACAAAATATATATAAAATAACTTAATGATTTATACCTATATTTTGCCTTGTACGTAGGAAACTTAATTAAAAACACGTATTGTGTCTTATTCTGGCTTTAGAGAAAGCAATTCTCTTTGTCAATGAAAATTGAAGAGGATATCAGCGTGTGTTTGGTTAGAAATATATATATTTTCATATTCTGTATATAATTGTAAAGTTCCTATGGCATGTACTGTACTGGGTTGAGTGCCTCTAAAAGTGAGTTTAGTACAACATGATTTTCTTAAATATGAAATCCAGCCTTGACATGTTAGCTGTCAAGAATTCTATTACTGTCACGAAATATGTTTATAATTTTTTTTTTTACACTGAGTGCCAATCCAGTGATTGGAGAGTTCAATCGTGATGTCACAGCTGTCAGCTAATAACTTTTCATGTCGTGAACAGCTCCGTTGGGTTAGAAATCTGGTGGTGACTTTTTGATGATTTATTGTAACCATAACAACCAACACACACCACTGCCCCAGGCGGTGGTGACTGAGGCAGGTGTTTGTTCTGAAAGTGCTCATAAGACAGACGAGTGATCCGTACATGGCTTTCAATTGGCTGTTGGTCGACTTTACTGAAGAAAGTAAGACGAATATTCAATTGACGGATAAGTTTTATTTACCTGTATCTAATACTTTAACAGCTTCCAACAGAGGAAACACAAAGCATAATAAGTTGCCGTCTTGAGTTTTGAGATAAATAATCGACTTTGATATTGTTTTGTCCTTGTGAGAAAATATATTAACATAATGTAACACAGTACCTGGAGAACGTTCATCAAGACTTAAGAGGTAACTGTTGTGATTTTTTTCTGAAGCATTTATTTGTTTTAACAATAAAATAATAACTGCACTATATACCACTGGACTAATCACTACCCTTGTAAAAATCCCACCTACAACTTATCAAGATTTCCACCTGTATTTTGCAATTACTCTCACCTGGATTTCATAAATAATTTCACGTGTGTCTGCCTTGATTCACATAATTAGAAAAAATGCCATTAGTAACAGCCTCAGTTTACACCCATGGGTCTCCCTTCCCCCACAGGCGAACTTCAAGGTGACTGTGGGTGTTCCTTCAGACTACTACGACGTGAGCCACCACCCTGCAGCAGGCGTCTTCGTCACCGTGCCCAGGGTATACCCCCGCACCCTCTCTCCTGCTGAGGTAGGAAAGGACAGGTGATTGGGTAGAATTCATGAGTGTGTGTCCTGATTGGTGTGTCCTCAACTTCTGTTTCTCCTACTACTTCCCTCATACACCTGACACCAATCTAACCTAACCTTATGTGACCCTGACCTACCTTAGACTAACTTAACCTAACCTAATCTAACCTACAAAGATTAAACCTAATTTATCACTATAAACTAGATATGTCGGTGAAGTATAAAGATGCAGGAGCCAATCAGCGTAAAGTACGTCATGTATAGATATTAATGGACTTTGTCTATGTCGTTATATGGTGGTTGAGGTGTTGTGTTATATAAGTATTACAGTATTATTGTGTCTTTTATTGCCGTTATGTTGTAATATATTCACTGATATTTATCTTGGGTTTTGTGATAAAGATTATGTCATTCAATTGTCATCAGTATGCACGTGAGATAGACTGTCTCCTTTGTTACAGAGAGAGAGAGAGAGAGAGAGAGAGAGAGAGAGAGAGAGATAAACTTAATGTATCTACCCCAGTGTTTTCATTACACAGGTCGCTTCACTATCAGGGTGCGGCCCAATACCCGTTGGTGACCTGGGGGAGGGGGAGTGGATCGTGCTGGGAGATGACTTCGTGGAGCTGGGCGTAATCACCAATACCCCCGAGAGCGTTACCTACACACCTCAACCACCCACGGGGTAAGGTGTCCCTGACGAGGATTTATCTCCCCCCCCCTTCTCTCTCTCTTAGTCTTCAATACTATCCCACTCTGCAGAACACCCCTTTCAAAACATGGCAAAATCTCCTTCCCTGTGTTTTCACACCCCTCTCCTCCTTCCCATTATTCTTTCATCCTATTTTTTCTGTGTTCGTCAATACTTTCGTTAATGACACTAACCATCAGGTACCTGGTTGAGGAGAAGGTCGACTTGGCAGAGATATGTCCGCCGTACCCCGCCCACGATTACCTGGTGGTGGAGGGGTCGCAGGTGAGCTACCCCGACGCCGCCAGGCACTGCGCTGCCTACGGGGGAGAGTTGCCCGCAGCTGACGACCCTGCCCTGCTGGACAAGGCCAAGAAGGTCAGCCTTTTTCTTTAGGGTGGTGGCTACGTGTGTGTGTGTGTGTGTGTGTTATTTCTCTCTTTATTTACACCTCTCTCTCTCTCTACTCCCGTTGTCTGACTGTCTGTCCCTCTCTTTCGTTCTTTGTCTCTTCATTCCTGTTTGTCTTTCTGTCTGACACTCCGTCCGTCCGCCTGTCTGTCTGTCTATTCGTCGGTACGTCCATCCGCCTATCTATCTACCTACATACTTATCTAATTTTTTCCCCTATATCTATCATCTTTCTATCTCCCGGACCAGGTGTTAGACGACAACCCACACGTGTCCCTGGAGTACTGGGGAGCTGGGGAGGGGAAGGCGTGCCCCATGATGCTCCTGAAGGAAGGGTGGGCTGCACACCACATCCTCGACAAGTGTGACCAGCTCCTCAAGTACCTCGCCTGCAAGGTACTGCCGGAGGGGGGAAAGGGGGGGTGGAGTTGAGGAAGGACGGGGTGAGGGTGTGGGTGGGAGTGAATGAAGGAGAGAAGGGGAGGAAGGGAAGAGGTGGGTGATGGAAGGAAGGAGGGAAGGGAGGGAAAGGGTGAAGTAGGAGAGGGGGAGAAGTAACTAGAGATAGGACGGGGAGAGAGGGTAGGACTGAGGTAGTAGGGAGGGAGTGAGAGTGAGGAATATACCAAAAAGCTGCGATAACACAACTGCTACACCCATGTTTGTTAAGATGGCAGACCCGATGTTAGGGAACAGCCCGGAAAGACTGGACAACTCATTAACCGCATTAGTTATTTATATCCCAGAAACAAGATCCTCTAACTGATTTACATTTAGGACTTTGCAGAGAGACAAATGGAACTTTCCATAGTTCCACTCTGGCCGGGAATCGAACCCAGGTCCTCTCGTTTGTGAGGCTTGAATGCTAACAAATATATTGGTCATTTTTGCTATTGTTATTATCGTTATGTTACGGCAGGTTTTCTTTACAGTATGAAAGTCATATCTGAGGTGTACGCTAACAGCTCTTCCCCCCCCCCCCTTCAGGTACCGCTCAGCGCCCCCTTGAAGCTCCTGCGTAACAGCCCAGCAGGCACTGACTACGACGACACCTTCTATGTAGTGGCCCGGGATACCAAGGTTAGACTGGTGTCTCTGGCTGGCCGGCAAATCAAACAAGAAGGACAGAGTCTGTTTCTGACCAACACTGAGAGGGATATAGTGGCTACCGCCCCCGCCACCAACAGCCAGCCTGTGGGCCGCTACTCTTGGACTTACATAAACAACGACACCACTGTCACCATGGTCATCACCAGCTGCTCCGTGGTAATGTACCTTCCTCACCACACACACACACACACACACACACATACACATTTATGTAAGCTAATGAAAGAATGTAACCCCATGTATCTACGCCCAAGCGGCTAACGAGCCGATCAGTGGTGAAGAGGATAAAAGTAAGTAAAGGTGACAAACGCTTACGGAACCTTCTACATGAAGGCGTCTTCCCGCTTTCTTTAGAAACGGAAGGTCACAGCAGACACGAGATAACACATACAAAGGGAGAGAAAATATGGATGTGTGAGGCTAGTAAATAGTACAAGTGTGTGAATGTTCTAAAAAAGTAGTTGTGAGTGGAGGAGTAATGGAGGGTGAAGCGCTGGACGATGCGACGTGTCACAGTTGTTGCGGAATGGAAGCGACAGTACTGCTAGGGAGAGTGTGTGTGAAAATTGTGTATTTATGAGGTAGAGTAGAGTACTCTGTAAGTTTAATTTGAAACTTAATTATGTTTTTACTTTATATATTAAGACAATAAAGATATTTGATGAATAAATGTATAAAAGGGAACCTTCGAGTAAAGTTGGAGTGAAGGCAGAGGAAATGGTAAGTACGATGTAATGGGTAAGTTATATAGTGTCCCTTGGTGTTGTGAACTGAAGGTGGGTGTAGGACTAACCCGTCACCATCACCTTCAGGAGCAGTTCACGTGCTCGGACGGGTCCTGCCTGCCACTGTCTCACCGCTGTGATGGAATGACTCACTGTCACGATGACTCAGACGAGACCTGCACCCTCCTAGCGCCCCTACCAGACTCCTACCGCAGGAACCGTCCCCACAAGCCCCGCACTCCCCTCCAGCTGTCCGCCAACCTCCTCAGGATCCACAACGTCGACGTGGAGAACACAGTCATGGCCACTTGCCTTCAGGTACCTCACTAACTCACTAACAATTACTTTTTTATTACCCCGCTTGTCGGCCCTAGACGATAAAGCAGTATGAAAACTGTCTTTTTGTTAACCATTTGCTTGTCCTCCCCTGAAAGGAAATTTTTATTTTACTTGAGGAACATTTTTTTTTTAACTTTTCACTGTGGTTGTAATAAGATCATCTCTAGCTGATTTATTTCTTAATTGAGATAGGTTTTAGCCCTTTGGCTGCTGTAGGTTTCCTTATGCTGAATAAAATCGTCTGGCGATAGCCGGAATATTATTATACAGCTGTCTTATAATTCCTTTAGTGTTCCAGTAATTTTTCCAGTGTCAAGCTAAATCATCCATTCAGCTCATATATTTTTTTTTCAACGACTTGTAACTCCTCCAGCGTTTCTATGTATCCCAACCAGTGTTGTTTCAGTTCATCCAACGCTCGTACAGAGCTTTGATCAGCATCTTACCGCTAGTCATTACTCCTCGTCCAGCTCATCACGAAATGGGAGGACGATCGTGTGAAACTCTCCCAGCTGAGCCCCAACCCAGCTGACAACGGTATGCCGGACCTGATTGTATGGGAGCCCAGCTACAGGCTCAAGAACGCTGCCTTCTTCGACGCCATGGCCTATATCGACAGGGAAAGTACTGAGACCTTCATCAGGGCTCACCGCTCAGGCAACGGTGTCGTCAACATTGTGGATGGCACCGAGGGTAAGATCTGCCTTGACTTCCTTCATTTACGTCATGATCTGTCGTAGATAAGCGAAGCCGTTTGTTTACTATCGTCTTTCAGCGGATGTGACACCAGTTATAGGTTTCGGTGTGCTTACAAGCCAAAGTGGTGAAAATCAGGCACTTTCTCTCAGTATCCGTCTCCTTTCTTCTATCTTTCATTCCTTCATCTTGCTCTCTCACCGTTTTTCTCTCACCTTAGGATACGTGTACACAGCCGGGAGCAACGCCTTCCTTGAGAGGACGGAGGGCTTCAAGGCCTCCTACGTGTGCAGCTTCCAGATGGACATTTACCCCTTCGACGTGCACGAGTGTCAGATGCACATTGGCATCCAACACACCGGGGAGTTTAAGGCCTTCTTCGACCTCTCCGTAGGTGTCTCCTGTGCCTAGATATGAAGGAGAGGGAGAGTAGAAGGACAGAAGAAGGGAGAGAAGGAATAGGGATAAAGGGAGAAAAGAAAGGAGAAGGGTAATAGAGGGAGAGAAGGAGGAAGACGATAAATAGAGAGAGAAGGAAAATGTGGAGGAAGAATAGAGAAGCAGTGTCAGGGGTTAAGGAATATATATATATATATATATATATATATATATATATATATATATATATATATATATATATATATATATATATATATATATATATATATATAGAGAGAGAGAGAGAGAGAGAGAGAGAGAGAGAGAGAGAGAGAGATGAGGAAAGAAGGAGAAAGATAATTCCACTCAACCGTCATATTCTCAACTTCATAATACCCGCGGACCTTCGCTTAGTTTTCTGTATACTTATGGTTCTTAGTCGAGATAGCTGACACGTCGGTTGTCTAATAAAAAGCCTTCCTGTAAAATGAATCGTAAAACGTCAACATTATTGGGGTATTTTGACAGCAACCATAAAAAAAAGGCAGATTAATATTATTATTATTTTCCTGACCTTTATTCTTATATTACCTGACACTTAATTTTGTTGAATCAATGAGAATTTGCCGACACTAATTCCTGGATGACTTTGTTGTACAGAAACTGACGATCGTGGACTCTGAGCCATCAGTTCTGACGCTCTTTACCAGCTCCAAGATGTGTTACACTTACACCGTGGACGAGGACGACCTCATCACCTCTCTCACCTTCAGGGTCAGTCCTCGCTCTCTCTTGCCACCACCACGGCAAACTGTTATGTCCTTAACACCTTCAAGAAAAGCTCTCTCTTGTGCCATAGATAATTGTTGTATTAATTATCATAATTCTTAAGAAAATATCTGCTCTCCCACCCACACTACAGCCACCCTTGAATCTTGTACTCTCACAAGAAAAGCTACAGCAGAATTTTTCAGTATTTTACAGCAGTGTCATGATGAGAATGCGCTAATTCACTCTTCATCTGGGGTCTCTGGTACAGGTGTTGCTGACCCGTCGCTACGGTGCCTACGTTTTCACCACCTTCGTCCCCTGCATTATCCTCAGTATCATCGGCTCCTTCACGCAGTTCTTCGGCTACACCAACTTCAGGTGAGTCTTAGTGCACGCAGGTTAAACTAAAATCTTATTAGCAAGAACTCGATGTCCATAAACGTTCACTAAGTTATTGTCATTAAATTGCGTCTAATGTCCGTTTTTATCATCACACGTGTTTCAGTTATATTTATTTCTAAAGCCTTTATTATTAACTTGCATTATATTTGTTTCAGTTTACTTTAATTAATAGAATAGTTAATGCTCTTGTCACTGATCTGATCCACAGTGTTAACACTTTCCCTCCCTGCTAGTGACCGCATCATGGTGACACTGTCCTGCCTCATCGTGGTGGCCGCCCTCTTCTCCCAGGTGGCCGTCACCGCCCCAGCCTCAGCCGCTCCTAAAGCCATCGACATTTTCTTCTTCTACTCCACCATCCGCATGTTCATCACCTTCCTCCACCATTCGTGTCTCTTCTTGGTGCAGACTCACGTGAACCTCCAGAGAGATAAGAAGAAACAAGAGGCAAAGGAACGCCAGGACACTGTACAGGTCATCAGCACCAAGCCCAAGAGCGCCCTGGAGCGTGACCAGGACGACATCCCCGAAGCTGCCAGCTATGATAAACCCCCGAAGGTGTACCTCCCGACCCTGTCCTTCCCCTGGATGGGGTCTGATCCCTCAAGCGGCGTAAAGAAAGACGACGTTAAGTATCCAGAATACGACAGAATTTTTAACATCATCAGCATCATTCTAGGCTACCTATTGGATCTCGTCTGCGCATGTGCGTTCTTCTACTGGGTGGTTTACAATCGCAGCGCAGTCACCGAGAAGTTCTCAAATGCCAGCAAGAGTTGTAGTGAAGCTCTGAATCCAAGGGAGGCCGAACCCGTACCCGAGTTCGAACCCATACCCATGTTCCAACCAGAACCTGAACCCGAACTCCAAGCTCCGATAATTTAATGGTAACCTTCAGCCTCACCAGTCTCCCCGGAAAATAATTTGAGATGAAATTCTACGTTGTTGATGTCGTGTATATACTGATAAACTGTGTCCATAAAGACCTCAGTTGTTAATGTTTAGTAGTACAGTAATACATTATATTATCAACAACACTATTTTACATATTAACAGTAATACCAAACTTTATATAAGCTATTATAACAAGACAAATACTGAACTATAACATCATAAAAGTTACCAAGTATTACCATATGTAACAGTTCTAGTATGATCTTTGTGGGACGAAATTAACAAGGGCCAAAACCTAACCTAACCTAATATAATGTAATCTAAGCACCTAACCTAATCTAACCTTAATACCTAACCTAACCCCCCAGGTAGCGTTAGGATGTTTAATCAACAGGTGAAATAAGCTGGGATGGTCTAATCTCCAGATGACTCGACAACAGCAATTAGGATCGACGACTGTAACCTTGAATTCCTTGTGTGTTGTTTGGCATATGTTTCAGTATACCACAAGACCACGAGTAACACAAACAAGTATATCCCCCAGTAGATGTTATACCAGCAGGAGATGTAGATGTAGTGTGTATACTTGTGGTAGCCACAGTCCCCTTTCATAGTGCGTTTACAGGGGTTCGTCATATAAACATTCCATAAATCATTATATTGAAATATTTGTTTTTAATATTGTTTAACTTTGATTCCATAGTATGTTTACTACAGCGAGTTTCCTTGTCGAATGTAATCAAACACAGGGTTGCCACGCTGCACAAAACCTGACGAGCCCCTGCACTAGAGAAGGGGACTGTACATCGTGTTCGCACCTATATACTGTTCCTGAGTGGTGTTGTGATATCTCTAGCACGTTTTGTAGGTGTTAAGTTTGCCAGTATTAATTTATAACATTGTTTGAGTGGTATACCTATATAACTGTTTATTTTCATTACACACACACAAATAACACGCGCACACACATACGCACACACATAAACACTAACACACACACACACACACACACACACACACACACACAAACATTTGTAGGAGACCTAACGCATCAGCAAGTGAGGACAATGCTGCTTTTACCATACAATAAACCACGCCATCTCCATGAATATTTATAAGGCAGTGACAATAACTATTTTTGAAACACCCTGTATGTTAAACCTTACCTCTGGCGGCCAATGCTTATAAATTATACAATTAGACAACAAGATAAATTAATCCCCAAATATAACTTACCATGATGTATAATTTAAAGGAGGAAATAGCTGAGAAGAGTGTTAGTATGTTACCTGAGCTGAACTGTATGTCTTTGTTCTTTGTTTGTCTTTAAGAATAAAAAACACATTAAATTTTGTAAGTATTATACTTGTGGCAGTATGTGGGTTACCTGATGTTCATCCTCCCAGGTTATTTTACCTAAAGATTCGCCATTTTAATGCTAATCTAACACAACACAACACAACACCTACCCTAATACAACCTAACCTAACCTAACCTAACCTAACCTAACCTAACCCCCCCAGGTAGCATTTAGGTGTTTAAGCATCAGGTAAAATAAACTAGGGGCTAAAATTCAAGTAAATCCCAAAATATATATGAACCACAGACAAACTTATCAGTCATATAATAATTCACAGCAATAAAAATCACCATAAAAATGTAACCAGACACTCAATGAGAGTCTGAGAATAGAGGAGAGTAGTGGTGGTGATACTATAAGTTATGGTAACACTGGTAGCGGTGTGAGAGGTCAGGTGAGTTGGTAATACTGGTGTAAGCGTGGGAATTTTAGTGAGTTGGTAGCACTGACGGGATTACAAGTATAGTCGGAATGGTTGACAGCACTGTGAGAGAGTACAAGGGTGAGAGGGGCCTGAGGGAGAATACGAGGGTGATGGGTACCTGAAGGAGAGTACAAGGGTGAGGGCAGAGCTGAGGGAGAGTACAGAGGTGAGGGGCGCTGAGAGAGAGTATGAGGAGGGAGACTTTTGCCACAACTTTGGGATATAGAGTTGGAAAGATGTTATGAGAAAGGGAGATTAAGGGGGAGGGAAGAGGGATGGAGGGCTAAAAGGAAGGAGGAAGGAAGATAAGGAGGGGGAGAGGGAAGGAAGGATACAGCTCGTGTGATAGGGGCGGTTCACCTGGTGATGACTCATGAAACAATGGAGAGAGAGAGAGAGAGAGAGAGAGAGAGAGAGAGAGAGAGAGAGAGAGAGAGAGAGAATCTATATAATCAAAGTTAGAACAAAATTAGACCCAGTAGGCGGTGTTAAAAGCAAGGTTCACTAAAAACATGGACAACTAAATAAGGGTCCAGAAGGCAGCTATAGGCGGGGGTCATGGTGAGAGACGGAGATATAAAAAAAAAGTGCCCTCCCTCACCCTTCTGACATACAGTTTATGTACATGTGTGTGTGTGTGTGTGTGTGTGTGTGTGTGTGTGTGTGTGTGCGCTCCATGTGTTTCCTTTCCCACTGACGATGGTTTGGTTCTCCGAGATGTGAAGATCATGACTCAGGGACTACATAAGTACTTCCCCACTGTGAACACATCAGAACAACGACCAGCTGTTCTCCTGTGCTTTTTTGTTCTCCATGGACAGAACATTTAGCGATGTGGAGAATAAATGAACACAAGAAGCATGTTATTGAGTCTTAAAGAACATTTGGTAATAATTAAGATCCGAAGAGAACGTCGAGGGATTTAGAAAAGTAATGGTCCTTGTACAGTATTTTTTATCACTAGGAGAATGTTCACCCCGCGCCTGTACTTTACTTGGACCAATCAGAAAACTCGACGTAATCTTGAACACGTTTATCAGCGGCCCCCGACAGCGACGATGAGAGAGCAGTAAATAACAACAAAAATAATATAAAATTATGTTAGTATAACTACGGATGAATGTAACCCATAATAGCTTGTCTCCAATAGTCGTAGCTGAGTTAATTCTGATTTGTCAATAAGGTTACGTAATGATGGTCCAATAGTTCCTTAAATGGTCTTACCTACACATACGATAGCTCGTTAAATGAAACACACTAGATAATTTATCATACCATGCATACTGTCTTGGTCGAATCATTAAGAAAAGTATGAATTATTGTATACTAGAGCATTAACTTTAGACTACGGCTTAGGGATACTGCGGGAACTGTATGCTGTGTTCGAGCTGTAAAGAACATTTGAAGCAAGAAACTAAACAGAACTCGAAGTGCATTTCTCAGCGCTTGACTGAAGACGTTTGAGATGTAAGTATGAAGGTGTAATGGTCAGCATCCTCGCCTCGCAAGCGAGCGGAACCAAGTTCGATCCTTGGGCAGGGTGAAACTATGGGCAAGTTCTTTTACGCCATTTACCTCTGTCTAACCACTATTCCGTGACACTGTGTCATGCAACTCGTTAACTTAGGGTGTGGTTGTGTTTGAGACGGCTTTTACACTTTGACAAATTCACACTGAGGAGGCCCTTGGGCCGGCCATCCTCGATTTCCCGGGGCTTCCATTATATAACATTGGCGCTGTACTATGACTGGTCAAGTTGGGATATATTTTATTGTATGGATTTTCTTTTCATCTAAATGAATCAAATGTCGCCATGAAATAAAATCGAGTTGTGGTGTTCCGTGTTGGAGCTCGAGACAAGAGAGTAACACAGAGACATTACGAGTCGAAAACATAAATATAAAACGCCTGAACAACTTCGAACTTACCTCGGTTGTCGTGGGCGTCACAGGGGCACAACTGACCCTCCCCCCGTTTTCCCCTGATAAAACCAAGGGGTGGGGGTAGTATATAACCAAAAGAGACACCTGGCGGTACACTCAATCACTCACTGCGACCCACTAAGCTCTGGTAGGACACTAAACACGAGTACAAGAAACACTGCTACAGACAAGTGAACATCAACATGCGGGGAATATCTTGCCTTGTTGCAGTTATCTTAGTAGCTGGTAAGTGTGTTTGTGTTGACAGCGTGGTTTTATTTTCTTCTCCGAGACTAGATAATTATTAAGCAGATGGTTGGTTATAAATTTAGTCAAAATATGAAAAAGCGATGTTAACTTTAACCTAGATACTTTTTTTGTAAAATGTGAGAACAAGACAAGATGATAACACCTCCAGTCGTCACTACACAATACCTTATTACTTACGGGTCATGACAGGTAAAAATTCATGTAGTGTTTTCTTATCTGTTGGGAGTATTTCACCTTTTCCAGAATGGCCATAGATCGAATGACAACATATTTCCCTTATGTAATAAATACACCATACACAACCACTGTATAATGTACTATACCTCGACACCACACCAAGTGTCTTCTCTTCACTGCTTAGTGTGTCCTAAGGCGCCTGTAACATATATTTCTCCTTTTCACTTGGTCACACTGTGTAACTTTTACGATGCCATAATCTCTAATGTTAACCTGTGTGATTGGGCTGTGTGGTGTGGTGCAGGCTGCTACGGGTGTGATCCAGGCTGGGTAGACATCGAAGGATCATGTTACATGTTCCACATGTCGACGGCGATGCCGTGGAGCGACGCTCGCGCCTTCTGCCAAGAATCTGGAGCTGATCTGGCTAAGGTGATCGACTCTAACGTCCACAGGGCCTTCTGGGAGTACATCCATACCTACGGTAGGTGAAGGAAAGGGCTCCTTCCACAGGCACCCGCCTTATACTTCATGTTTATACAACTACTTATACAGTATAAGGTTTGAAATATTGATGTATAATCTGAAGAAAATAAACCCCAACTTATTAAGTATTCTTTAAACTTCCTTTGTACGCTTCAAAACGTATCCATTAAGAGGTTACTGTACCCATGTGCCAGGCTTGAGTGGTTCATTCTGGCTGGGAGCTTCTGACGAGGCCGTGGAGGGCGACTGGCTGTGGGTATTTGACAACACCAGGGTGGAGAAGGGCACCAACTACTGGGCACTCCGCACTACTGTCCTCGGTGAGTTGTTCTTCTTGGATCATAGCTTCCTGTTTTACTGCCATTCTGTCCTCTCTCTGCTTCTTTCTTTCTTTCCACCTTTTAGTCTCACAGTCTCTCTAAATTACGGTTGTTGTGTTCCCTGAAGGAGGCTACCAGCTGGAGCCCTCTGGCGGGTCCCAGGAGAACTGTCTGGCATTGGATGAGGGGCGTAAGCACTACTTCAACGACGCAGCCTGTGAGACTTCCTACCACCCCATCTGTATGAAGTAACACCTGCAACCTGATGTAACACCTGCATTCTAATGTAATACCTGCAACCTGATGTAACACTTGCATCCCGATGTAACATCTGTATCCTGATGAAACACCTCCATCCTGATGTAACACCTGTATCCTGGTGTAACACACTTTGATAATATATAAAAATGAAAATAAAAAACTTTCTCATACAATATGTACACTTCATACTCTGATAATGTGATAATGTTCAGGTATTTTGTAAGCGTTACTGTTGTACAGTTCTCCTGCTGACACATATACAGTACATACATATATATCATAAGTAGAGAGACGTACTTGAAAAAAAAAATCATGCTCACATAGAACATTGTCGGTCAGTCAGTCAGGAAGGGCAAGCATTGGGTTTACTCACGCATCCAAACATTATGTGAAATATTAGTTTTTATACAAGAACCTCTAATCACACGTACTGTATATCTTCAGTAAAACCAGAGAGTTTGGAGCCAATGAAAGTAATAGATAATATTAATAAAGGATAAGTAATGAGAGAGAGAGAGAGAGAGAGAGAGAGAGAGAGAGAGAGAGAGAGAGAGAGAGAGAGAGAGCATTAACTTGCACCCTGAGTATACTGTCGTGTAAAATACAGAATATAAGACAACCGCTGGTCACGGTTGTATAATTTATATCATGGCGTCAAATATTTCGTGACCAAATACTCTCTCTGATATGATCTGTCGCTACACACTCCAGCACCTCACCACATTTTCTTGATAAATGTCAAAATAGAATAAAGAAACTCACTTTTATTTTTTATTAATTTTAATGAATTGTGATGGACTTTGAAAACACACTCTCAGATACGTTAGGTACAAGGTTCACGTTCCTTATCTTTATTTAGTGTTTTTCTTATACTGTGGTGGTCAAAATATTGTTAAGAAGAGGAGAGGAGCCTTCCTAGTATGGTACTGGTAAAGAACACGAATAGGTCATGAAGCCTGGTATCAATACCTGATCTAACCCTATGACCTTGACCATGAATCACTTTCAACTGACTGTGAACCGCTTCAAGGATTAGGGCACAAATATACACCTTGACAGTTACATCACTTGAAGCGTTTGGAAGATACTGTACAGCAGCAGCTGATCCACCGATTAATCCAGACATTTTTTTTTAGATGAATAATTTTCACCAGATTTTTATTTAATTTTTTTAAATTTAATATTAAAAAAGAAAAATAATGACAATGAATGTGTTGATGTGGCGGCACGAGTCACCAACAACCAGTAACCAATCAACTTTCATAAATAGTAGAGGTTGCTAGGGGATTAGCCCACCCGGGCACAGGTTACTGACCCACATCAGGGCCTGGGGGGGGGGGGATGTAATAATAATAATACAGTAATTCATAGCAAATAAAATTTATAATAAAAAGTAAAATAAAATAATAAATGATAACACTAATAATAATAATAATAATACCAACACTGTAATAATAATAATAAAGATATACAAAGAAAAAATATTCAATAGTGAGAAACGCTATATGTATGTTGAGTTATTGAGACCCTGCAATTGTGTGTAAATGAGGTAGAAAGTCAGATCAACAACCTGGGACTTGGTCACAATATTCTTGATGCCATATAGCAGCAGGGTCTACCATTAGACAATACATTATGCTTCCAATATCTTCCCAGGCGGTAGTACCTCCCTGTTTGGTAGCTGCCTACTACCTACAAAAGGTAGTGAAGGTTCCTCAGTGATACGGAGACTGACCTTAAATGATCATTAAGAATATGAATTACAAACAAAATATTGGGAAATGAATAAATACCAAAATTAAGAAGCTTCAAATATTTAATTCACGTTTCTTGCAAAAAGGCAAATTTTTTTTTGTCTGATCATGGCATAGACTCGTTGCTGAAGCTCCCGAGTGTGTCTGTAGCCACTAGGACACGGTTGAGAGGAAACTTATACCTGACGACAGAACATATGCACGTTGTTCAGCGCTGTGTTGTCTGTTGAGGAGAACTCTTGGACACGGGTCTGGATGGCATATATTGCCATTCCTGTAACATAATATAAACGTTTTATATTATACACACAACAATGTTTTATCTAGGCTATAATAATGTTCCTCGCAGCCGTGACTATTTCCTGAATGAAAGTTCCCCTTGGGATTATTACTGATTGGCAGGCGTCTAAGTTGCCAGTGATCACTATTCAATAATATATGTTCATATGTCTTGTTTGCTTATTGTATTCACTACGCAACAAATAGAGAAGTTTCGTGTTAAAAAACTACGTACCATAAGGACAATTAGCATAGTTGCTCCAATTTCCCCTGTGGTTACCGCCGCCAATCAAGGTCTCATTACCATAATTACACTGCATCTCCAGGTCATTGGCGGTTGTGTCGTCCCCGAAGGCTCCCTGGTCAGACTCGCTCCTCATCCTGAAGCCCGTCAGGAAACCCTTGTAGCACTCCCGCTTACCTGTCCCAGGAAGAGATACTCGCTGTACATATAAAAATCTGCCAGGGGATACAGCAAAGGGCCTGTCGCGGGATGATTATTAAAGGCAAAAGCCATAGGAGATAGCTTTTCAGATTTCTTAATATACTCTCCATATATTCACATATGTTCTGCTAGACCAAACCAATACCAACACACTCTTACCTCTTACAAACTACTGGGAAGTGAACGTCGTAGTATCGGATGGTCAGTTTGGACGACCAGAGTAATAGGGAGGAATAGAAGTCTGAAAGACTCATCGTAAAGTCGGAGCTCAAGATGGCGGCTGTTAAACAGCAAGTGACTTTACTATATCGGAAAAAAAAAGACCAGGCGTCTGCTGGCTTTTGTCACGGGCCTAAAAGATTTGTGAGCCAGAAATGTTTACAAAGTACAAGTACTGTGTGTGAACCAACCAAGTGATATTATTTTCATGGGACCAGGATGAACAGTGTGTGTGTAAAACGATTAAGAAACAAAGATTTGATGTTTCCAAGGTGTAAAAAAAGAACGCTAGAGTTTCTTCAGTGCCTCCCTGTGATTGATGCACAAATTCCGTCTGTAATATCGACCAAATTTTCATGTTTTTAATCTTTACAAGGGCCAATGGAGCCGTAAAACTGTGTATTATACCAAGAATGTTTTTATAACCAGTAAATATAAAATCATCATGGAGCAGCTCACACATGGAGGTCTTACCCCGCCATATCCCCCACTGGTCGACGAAGGAGCTGATAATATAATCCGGAGCATCTGCTTCAGGTAAGTTGTCGCCATAATAGTAATTGGCATCACTGGGGTTGCTGCAGTACAAATTGATGCCGTTCATGGACGTCTCGTCGATGACGCCCTCTGAATCTACCTGCGAAAACAAAAGGCACTCATGGTTTTCAACCCTCACCTGTATGTTTAAGTTTTATTTGTCCGAAGTCAATATTTATCACTTTAAAACACTTAACCTTTTATCTACATGATACTCCCTTGTGTAAAATTTCTACAATTAGTGAGAATTACAATTACTTTGTTATTTAAGATTTTAAGTTTAAGACTAGATACTCAATCAAAGTCTCATTTGAGTCTCTCCTCTTCCTTGCCCACCTTGATGTCGAAGGCATAAACAAAGGATCCAGCGGGGCACTGCTCTTTTTCATGCCAACTCCCCCAGTTCATGGCCCAATCTACTTCAAGCCTTTCGTCGGCCAACACACCTGCAGCTACTTTGGGGTGAGTGAGACAAGGTTAATGTTGCGTGGTAGAGACCCATTGGAAGGGAGGCAGAATGCGTGATAATTGGGAGGAGGTGAAGGTACTGGTGTTAATGGTGAAGGTGTTGGTGTGTGGTGGAGGTGTTGGTGTTAGTGGAGGAGATGGAGGTGTTAGTGGTGGAGGTGTTGGTGGTGGAGGTGGTGGAGGTGTTGGAGGTGGTGGAGGTGTTGGTGGTGGAGTGTTGGTGTTAGTGGAGGAGATGGAGGTGTGAGTGGTGGAGGTGTTGGTGGTGGAGGTGGTGGAGGTATTGGAGGTGTTGGTGGTGTTGGTGGTGGAGGTGTTAGGTGGAGGAGGGAGGGAGGAGGAGGGGTGGTGGAGGTGTTGGTGGAGGTGTTGGTGGTGGAGGTGTTGGTGGTGGAGGTGTTGGTGGGTGGAGGTGTTGGTGGTGGAGGTGGTGGAGGTGTTGGTGGTGGAGGTGTTGGTGGTGGAGGTGGTGGAGGTGTTGGTGGTGGAGGTGTTAGTGGAGGAGGTGTTAGTGGAGGAGGTGTTAGTGGTGGAGGTGTTGTTCGTGGTAGGAGTCTCGAGGTGAGACAGTGGCAACACTTGTAAAAAAAATGATAAAAATAAAAGTTATCATGAGAAGAAGTTCACCTGTTAGTGACAAGCTGATATGTGGGTAAAGGGGGGGGGGAGGAGACACTGGTGAGGAGGAATATACTACATCACGTGCTCCTCCCTGGGTGTCGAGGATCATACTTATTGATGCTGTTGGGTGTAAGTCACAGCGAGTTGATCTATTTTAACATTAACACATTTAATGAGGATGTGGGACTAAAATATTTCTGTTCACGCTGATTATTTTCTGGTGGAAAATTTGAAGCATCGGTACAGTAACGTCTGAAAAGTGAACTAAAGAAATTTAAATATGCTAAATTCCGACTATATCTCGTTACTTAGTGTACGTTGGGTATACTTGATTTTACTAAACACTAATTATTAACGCCGAATCATTCTTCGTAAATTATAGGACTGAAAACTTCCTGGACGATTTGACCAATAATTCACCAAAACTACAAAACTTATTATTAACTTTAATTTCAAACAACACTCTCATCATCTTGCTTCATTAATCAACACATAAATAGAATATAATTTTGAAAATAACTGAAACATATATAGTCACACACACACACACACACACAAAGAAAAAACCATATCATGTATAACACAACAGAAGAACTCAGCGCCAACTTACCCAACAGACAGACACACACAGCTGACCACCAGAAGGCTGCCATGATGATGATGATGGAGGAGAATATGCGGTAGCGGCGGCCACACCCAGTATATATACCCACCTGCAGGTATCCTTGTGACACACTCACGCAGTTGGTTCAAAACACCAGCTGGTCAGGTTCTCAACACCAATAGATATTTCAAGAGCATCCAGATAGCCAAACTTCTTTGTGCATTATTTCAGGAAAGTGGTGAGAGCTTAACACAGCACAGCAGTTTAATATACACTATATAAAAGGAAAACGTTAAAATATATCTTCATTAGACTCCAAATTTATTTGAAGAATGGAGGACAGTTAAAACCTTCGGTATTATAAACTACATAGTTTACAAGCTCTTAAAACTATAACAATGTCGTTTTTAGTAACAACTGATTTTGCCTCAACTGTTCATGTTTCAGGGTTTGGTAACCTCGGGATCGATTTTACAGGATGGCAGTTGCCACTTCCTAAAATAGACTGCCAAGAGGAACAAAAGATTCACCAGGCAGGTCACAACGTAGTGGTGGCGGAGGACGGGCGAATATGAACCTACTTACAGCCCCAGTAATAAGACTAAAGAGAACCAGAAACCCGCTGTGGAGGTTACAAGGACTTGGAAGTCGTCGAGGCTACAAACCGACTAATATATCAAAATGAAGAAAGTTTATACCCAAAGTGAGCTCTCAGAGAAACTTCATTGCGGCTTTCTCAAGAGAGATCGAGTAATTATTGGATTAGTGGTGAAAATCTCCAATATCACTTTTAAAGAGAAAAATAAAGCCAAAAGTAATCTCTGAGGCCATTTACTTTCCCTTCTTGTCGTCTAGACAACTCTTAGTTAGTGGTTGATGACAGAAGAGGAAGGTTACAGCCTAGACTTCTCCTGCTGTAGCTGAATTATCCTCTAAAGCTGCTGGTGATAGAGGTTACTTGTGGCTGATGGTGGTGATGAAGTCTTTGAGTTTTCTGCAACAAAACATCGGGATGTGGAGGTCATTCCGGGGGTTGTGAGGTCATCTAAGAGGTCGTGTCACAACAAAACATGCGCACGTCGTTCAGAGCTGTGTCATCTGAAGCAGTTTCAGCCTCGACGCGGGTCTCGATGCCACATATTACCCAACCTGTTAGAATGGAATACACCGTAGTTTTGTGCACTGTATAAATATATATTTTTTATTCCTTTATGTTATTTTGGAGAGAATTATACTTATAATATTAATGGCGTAGTTTTCTCTTCAAAATTTATAATTATTCACTCAGTTGAGTATTATGTGAGTATCATTCATCCTATTTCATTGGTTAAAGAAAGGTTTTATAAACGTCATATGAAGACCTTGGCAAATAAAGCATTTTGTATATGAAAACAAGGAAATCTTTAACAAGGTTTTTATCCGCAAAGAAAGATTGTAAGAATGATATGAAATGATCCATCAGTATAACTCGGGTCGAGCACATGTACACAAGACTGCCTCAGCCCGCCTCAAGTCATCTTCTCGCAGCTGAGACTTAAATCTTTCAGGTTTTTGTACGACATATTAATTTAGCTCAAATAAATGAGTGGTGAAAATATGTTCAAAAGATAATAACATAGGATATGATATGAGATCCTGTTACAGAGGAAGCAACATCCCTACACCCACACATCAGAGGAACCATTTTAGTGAACGTGTAAGTGAAGAAGCGACAGTGTATTGTACAACGTTTGTAATGGTAGATATCCGAAAAGTGTTGGTCTGTCACAGTATAATATATTCATTACTATTGTGACCTCATTATCCTAATAAACGTTCTACTTAGGATTATTATTAATTGACAGGCGTCTCAGTTGCCATTGATCACTATTCACTGTCATATGCTCATATATTTCTATTTGATCACAACGAAGATAATTTCTACACAAAGGAGAGTTAAGTACAATGTAAACAAGACTTCTTACCATCAGGACAATCAGCATAGTCACTCCAGTGTCCCCAGTGGTTGCCGCCGCCGTTCAGGGTCTCGGTGCTCCAGTTACACTGCATCTCCAGGTCATTGGCAGCTGTGTCGTCCTCGAAGAGCCCCTGGTCTTCCTCGCTCTTCATTTTTAGGCCCGTCAGGAACCCCTCATAACACTCACGCTTACCTGGCCCAGGCGGGAGAAACACTCATTGTACACCACGAAAGAGACGAGTGATACAACATACAGATTGTCGCCGGATAATTTCACAAAGGTAGAACCGCAGGAGACGCGACTGGAGAAAATCAATCATTTTACGTCATAAACCTAGATTTACGTTAATATTTTTTTAACATTCTTAGCAGATATGTGATCAACATTTTCTGGACAGTATGTAGCCAAAGCTTGGTATGGAGAGTGTGCATCCTAACTTAAAATTTGTGTTCAATAAACTGCTTCACCGAAAAGCAAGACCAAACCAATACCAACACACTCTTACCTTTTACAGACTCCTGGGAAGTGAACGTCTTAGTATCGGATGGTCAGTTTTGACGATCAAAGTAATAGGGAGGACTAGAAGTCTGAAAGATTCATCGTAAAGTCGGAGTTCAAGATGGCGGCTGCTAAACAGCAAGTGACTTTACTATATCAGAAACAAGACCAGGCGTTTGCTGGCGTTTATCACAGGCCTAAAAATTTTGAGAGCCAGAAATATTTACTAAGTACTGTGTATGAACCAACCAAATGATATTACATTCCTGGGACCAGGATGAACAGTGTGTGTAAAACAATGAAGAAACAAAGATTTGAGGTCCCCGGCATCGTATGGTTTGTTCAAACCACCCCGGGCGAAAACCGTTTTTTGTTGGAAAGCACTATTTTCGGCCTAGCTCTATACGATGGTAGTTGATAAGATCTCCATGCTACACTGTAAATAAGGTTGAAATACCTTTGAAAATAGGGTAGAACATCGATTTGTGGCAGACAGAAAAGTATGGGCTTAGCTTTCGTGTCGTCAGGTGCTCTTGTCCCATCAGTGAGCAGCTTTTCAAAAAGTCATGGGTTGAACGACGCCATTTACGATGACCTTCTTGCCCTGATATTTTGTTCAGGAATACCACCTTTTCGAAGCTCTGGAGAGATCTCGAAGTTTCGATATTTTGAGTACGGTACGAGCTAATAATTCCCACCAGGAAACTTGCTTCGAGACTCCTCCAAAGCTTCGAAAAGTGCAGAGTTCCATGTGTTAAAGGCTATATTGCTGAAAAAAGATCAGGGCAAGAAGGTCATCGTAAATGGCGTCGTACACCCCATAACTGTTCTTGAGTGAGGAGCGGGCGGTCAATCACAGGAGCCGGCCTGCAGCCTCCTCCCCCCGTCTCGGCCAATGACAGTGAGCGTCTGCTATCTACGTCGCGGCCCCTCCAGCCAATGAGGAGGAATTCCTCTCCCTTAGTTCTCTTTTGTTGTGGTGGGATCTACATTCTGATATCGAGTAAAGTAAAAAAAAGAAGTGGGTGGGAGCTTTATTGCTTCAAGTCAACATTGAAACAACCGAGTACATTATTTTATGACGCGCTACCTACCATCTGCAAGTACAGTCCTTTAGCTTCAAAATGAAAAAAAAAAAAAAAATACTATATCTCAAAAAACAACAAAATTATGCATGTTTGAAGTTGGAAAAACTTTAAACTCCGGTTTCTCGGCATTTAAATTTTGGCGGGAATAACCCATACGATGCGGGGCGCCTCATTTTGATGTTTCTATGGTGTAAAAATATGACAATACTGTACTAGAGTTTCTTCAGTGCCTCCCTGTGATTGATGCGCAATGTCCATATATATTCCATATGAATAACCAAGTATCCTTGTTCTCACTCTTTACAAAGACCAAAGGAATCACGAAACTGAGTCATATACACATTCGCATCAGTACAACTTCAATAATATGAACAAGGTGGAGGTCTTACCCCGCCAGTCTCCCCACCGCTGGACGGTGGAGGTGATGGTGTATTCCCCAGCGTCCACCTTAGGCGAGATACCGTCATGGCCGACATCACCCGGGGCGCGGCAGTACAACATGATGCCGTTTATGGATGTGTCGTCAGAAGCGCCCTCTGACTCTACCTGCGGTAAACACCCTCAGGTAACCTTTATCTGTAGATCTGTTAATTGCTCTATTTGCCAAGAGTAAATATTTAAAACACTCAACCCTTCCTCTCATACATGATATTTCTCCGCGTGAAACTTCTTAAATTAGTGGTAATATTAAAATCAGTTTATTATAGGGAAAGCTTAGGTTCCAGATTATGTTCTATCCCACCTTGATGTTGAAGCCGTAGGCGTAGGTTCCTGTAGGACAGTAGGCCTTAGGGCCCCAGACTCCCCAGCTCATGGCCCAGTCCAGCGTCAGGGTTAAGTAGTTGTCGCCCACGGGGTTCTCCTCCCCCCCAGCCCCCATACCTGTTGCCACACATAGGTCAACGGTCACTGATAGAAAGACAATATAAAATAAAGGAGAATAATTAGAGGAAGAACTGTGCTAAGCGGGAGGGAATGGTGGAGACATCGTTGGTGGTGGGGGTTTGAGTGGTAGCTGTGAGCTATTGATGACAGAAGTAGTAGGAGTAAGGGTTACGTAAAGAGACGGGAGGTAGTATGGAGCCTCGGGGGTGAGGGGGTGGCAGCACTTTTATAAATAAAACCAACATCTCCAAAATAAAGTTATCATGAGAATAGGTTCACATGTTGACAAGGTGATGTGGCAATGTGTGAATGTGGCGGACGGGGGGGGGGGGGGGTGGGGGGGTATAGAGTGGGATACGTGGTGTTAGGGCAGTATAATTAAAAGTTCTGTACTTACCTTTTAAATAGCGAGGTTTTAAGTCACTAAGCTGCATTATATTTTTATATCCGTGATATTGAATGGTAGAAGATTCGTTATTTTTGTTTTTTCTTTTTGTAATCAACTTATTAACGATTTAATTTACAGGTTTTTCTAAATATTTAATGCAGCACAAATCTGTAGAACTATACCGTAACTTTAATTCAAAATAATACAAAATGGAACTGTGGATGGACTCCAGTTACCTGTGTTTCCTCTAAGACAAACAAATGTAATATTCATTATGTTGGGCTATACTGTCCACGCTGAATATTGTCTGGTAGAAATTTGGAAGCATCGGTACAGCAGCGTCTCAGAACTGATTAGCGAAACTAAACGCACTTTATCCAATCTAGATTCTTTTACAAAAGATTCACCAGGTTAGGTTAAGTTAGGAATGGTGGAATTTACAGAAAAAATCGAAAATCGAATCTTCCTATGTAAATTTAAAGGCTGAAAATTAGCAGGATGACTTCATCACAATTCAACTAATTATATCTCAAGTAGCGTCTAAATATGAGAATCACAGAGACGTGTCCAGTAGTTCACACACATTCACTTTATGTTGACATACAGATCTGAAAGAAAGCTAAACGTACTTACACACACACACACACAAGAGGAAACCATATCATGTATAACACAACAGAAGAACTCAGCGCCAACTTACCCAACAGACAGACACACACAGCTGACCACCAGAAGGCTGCCATGATGATGATGGAGGAGAATATGCGGTAGCAGCGGCCACACCCAGTATATATACCCACCTGCAGGTATCCTTGTGACACACTCACGCAGTTGGTTCAAAACACCAGCTGGTCAGGTTCCCAACACAAACAGATATTTTCAGAACCTCCAGATATCCAGACTTGTGTTGTGCAGCCTCCAGGAAGGTCGTCGGTGGTTAACGCAGTGGCTTCATAGAGGAAACTATAACCACAGTGTTTATCGGATTTCAATTAAATATCCATAAAAAATTATTTTGCTTTGGGAATGCCATTCACAACTTCATATATCTGAAATTAACCTCTAAAACAAGCATCTTCTAGTAAACTTATACGCTAGTGAACCAGGTGAGTATATAGGTGACCATTAGTTTTTTGAGTTGCTTACGCATTGTATAAAAGGAAAGCGTACAGTACATTTCTTCAGTTTCATAATTTATTGAAACTAAAAAACAAAACAAATATTACCCTGGCCACAAATAAACTCAACTAATATTAATGTCGATATTAGTAACAGCTTAGGTTGCTTCAACTGTTTATTGATTTTATATGATGGCAGTTGCCACTTCCTAAAGGAGCCTGCTGAGAGGAACAAAATCTGCCAAACAATTTTCTGTGTTGGTGAATGCAAAAATGGAGAAGCTTCAAGTCTTTATTTCAGGTTTCTTTCAAAAAGGTGAAATATTATTTCTACTATTTGCCTGACCATACTTTTGATTTTTTACTCGTGTCAACTGTTGACAGTGGTTGCTGGGAGACGTCTGTGAGAAGACTCAGTTCCAGTGGGAGGTGAAGTCATCTAAGGGTGTGGAGGTCACTCCGGGAGTTGTGAGGTCACCTAAGAGGTCGTGTCACAACAAAACATGCGCACATCGTTCAGAGCTGTGTCATCTGTAGCAGTTTCAGCCTCGACGCGGGTCTCGATGCCACATATTACCCAACCTGTTAGAATGGAATACACCGTAGTTTTGTGCACTGTATAAATATATATTTTTTATTCCTTTATGTTATTTTGGGGAGAATTATACTTATAATATTAATGGCGTAGTTTTCTCTTCAAAAGCTTTAAGTATTCAGTCAGTTGAGTATTAAGTGAATATTATTCCTCCTAATTAATTGGTTAAGGTTTTGTAAACGTCATATGACGACCTTGTCAGATAAAGCATTTTGTATATGAAAACATCAATATTAACACCAAGGAAAGAGGAAATCTTTAACAAGGTTTTTATCCGCAAAGAAAGATTGTAAGAATGATATGAAATGATCCATCAGTATAACTCGGGTCGAGCACATGTACACAAGACTGCCTCAGCCCGCCTCAAGTCATCTTCTCGCAGCTGAGACTTAAATCTTTCAGGTTTTTGTACGACATATTAATTTAGCTCAAATAAATGAGTGGTGAAAATATGTTCAAAAGATAATAACATAGGATATGATATGAGATCCTGTTACAGAGGAAGCAACATCCCTACACCCACACATCAGAGGAACCATTTTAGTGAACGTGTAAGTGAAGAAGCGACAGTGTATTGTACAACGTTTGTAATGGTAGATATCCGAAAAGTGTTGGTCTGTCACAGTATAATATATTCATTACTATTGTGACCTCATTATCCTAATAAACGTTCTACTTAGGATTATTATTAATTGACAGGCGTCTCAGTTGCCATCGATCACTATTCACTGTCATATGCTCATATATTTCTATTTGATCACAACGAAGATAATTTCTACACAAAGGAGAGTTAAGTACAATGTAAACAAGACTTCTTACCATCAGGACAATCAGCATAGTCACTCCAGTATCCCCAGTGGTTGCCGCCGCCGTTCAGGGTCTCGGTGCTCCAGTTACACTGCATCTCCAGGTCATTGGCAGCTGTGTCGTCCTCGATTATGCCCTGATATTCCTCACTCTTCATTTTCAGGCCCGTTAAGAAACCCTGAAAACACTCTCTCTTACCTGGCGAAGCGGGAGAAACTCTCACTCGGCTGTAACAAACTGACAGCTAATTTACCAACCTTAAAGCCACCAGAGAAAAGAAGGGTGGAATTAAAAATTCATTTCATGGCATTAATCTGTATTATAACAACCAAATTCTCATATTTTTAGTCCTTACAAAGACCAAAGGAGGCGCTATACTGCATCTTGTTTTTCACTCGGTATGCATAAAAAATTCCCGTAATAGTTCACATGCGCATCAGTAAAACTCCAAAAATATGAACAAGGTGGAAGTCTTACCCCGCCAGTCTCCCCACCGCTGGACGGTGGAGGTGATGGTGTATTCCCCAGCGTCCACCTTAGGCGAGATACCGTCATGGCCGACATCACCCGGGGCGCGGCAGTACAACATGATGCCGTTTATGGATGTGTCGTCGACGGCGCCCTCTGACTCTACCTGCGGTAAACACCCTCAGGTAACCTTTATCTGCAGATCTGTTAATTGCTCTATTTGCCAAGAGTAAATATTTAAAACACTCAACCCTTCCTCTCATACATGATATTTCTCCGCGTGAAACTTCCTAAATTAGTGGTAATATTAAAATCAGTTTATTATAGGGAAAGCTTAGGTTCCAGATTAGGTTCTATCCCACCTTGATGTTGAAGCCGTAGGCGTAGGTTCCTGTAGGACAGTAGGCCTTAGGGCCCCAGACTCCCCAGCTCATGGCCCAGTCCAGCGTCAGGGTTAAGTAGTTGTCGCCCACGGGGTTCTCCTCCCCCCCAGCCCCCATACCTGTTGCCACACATAGGTCAACGGTCACTGATAGAAAGACAATATAAAGTAAAAGGGAATAATTAGAGGAAGAACTGTGGGATCATATGAAGGTCCTCCCCCCTCCAGAGTAGCCAACAGAAGAATCTCCCTGACTCACCCTGTTCTAACTGATGGATTGCTTTTCCTCACTAGTTTTGGTACCGTAAGTCAACCAAGGAATGTATTCAGGACATACAAATAAAACATAAGCCTAATAATTATAGTAAAGAGTGTATGTAGATGCAATATAGAATTGGTTACGGTACGTTAGCTTAGGGGCTCACTTTACCTAACCTCTCACTAAGTAAAAGTAATCCCCACCTCCCTGCGACCTGTCACTGACCACATTACTCCAGTGTTAGATCAAGGTGATCAACTGAATACTATGCACCCAGATAGCATACGTACATCTGAAGAATCCCCCCCTTCCCCCAACGCGACCTGGGGGAGGGGCGGGGGGGAGATTCTTCATGTGATCCGAAGTGTGTTAGATGGGAAGGAATCGTGGAGGCGTTGGTGGTGGTGGAGCAGGTGGTGGTTGTGTTGGTGGTCGTTGTGTTAGTGGAGGTGGTAGTGGTTGCAAGCTAGAGTTGCCAGAGATGGCTGGAGGTGTGATAAATCGTGAGAAGACGTTCACCTGTTCTTGAAAAGTTAATGTGGGCCAGTCTGTGTTGAGGGGGGGGGGGTGACAGTGGTACACACACACAAGAGGAAACCATATCATGTATAACGCAACAGAAAAACTCAGCGCCAACTTACCCAACAGACAGACACACACAGCTGACCACCAGAAAGCTGCCATGATGATGATGATGGAGGAGAATATGCGGTAGCGGCGGCCACACCCAGTATATATACCCACCTGCAGGTATCCTTGTGACACACTCACGCAGTTGGTTCAAAACACCAGCTGGTCAGGTTCCCAACACAAACAGATATTTTCAGAGCCTCCAGCTCCAGGATAATGTGATTCTTATCCTCTTGGTCGTTCACCACACCTGTGTCAGCACGGCCCGGTTCTGACCTACACAGTACAACAGTTGTCATGGTGACCTACCTAAAACACACACTTGTGAGGAAGACACCCCTCAGATACTGCACACCATCGTTGACAAATGGTGTAGAAGTTACCAATTTTGGGGCAGACTCTTACATTCGACCTCAGTAAGTACTGGAGGTCCTGGGAGGAGGTTTGTGGGGGGTAAGATACCGATGGGATGGCCTGGGGGGTACTTGGGTTGGATTGGGGGATGAGGTGATTGTGGGTCGTAGGGAGAAGCATCAGATACTCATAGCTTCATACGTTCATTGTTACCACTTAACTAGAGCCATTAGGAGAACACGTCTAACTGGTTCATTTAAAGCAATGAGAAGATATGTCGAAATTGACCTAAGAATAAACTATAACTTAGAGTTTTATTTTAATTAGGTGTAAAAGTAATCTTACGAGTTTCTGAGTTCCTGAGAATTCGGAAAAAAATGCCGTACGTATCTAGTTGCCGTGAAACTTGCCCGAGGTGAGAACTGACCAGGTGTAACGGGCATACGTACTCGGAGGGGTGGATCATGGAGGTTATACACTTCTCTATACACCTTTACCGTAGGCACTGTATAGATGAAATATTTACACAAGTTTGAATTAACAGACAAACTGAAAAGCTAAATAAAATCCCCAGAGAAAAAAAAAGAGAAAAATATCACAACTAGATTCTTCATTGTAAACAAAGAAGATACTGTAGTGTACTGTACCTCCGTAGAACACAAACTCAGTAGTGACGTCGTTGGTACAGACTCACCCTAAAGTTCGTTAACTCTCCCAGCCACTTATGTGAACAGACCAGCACTGCTTGTGAACAGCCATTCAGGGTTAGTTCAGTGTCGTGGGCATAACATTGGCCACAGATGGGTGAGGAAGTCAGTTTGGTAGTTCGGCGACTCGTGAAAAGTGATCGTCTAAGGTACTGTAAAAACAAACATTCTCAAGTGTTACTCCGTATTACTATTATATAATACTTCCACTCAAAAGTCTTCAAAACGCCCGAAGGAAACAATATCTGGGGTGCCTAATGTTTATGTGATCCGTTTAAACATATCTGTAACATCAGTCTGAGATAACATACGTGGCAGAAATACCTTGTTAACATTGACACTTTATTTTGTATACATTCAGTAACACATAGACCAGAACCGTGAGTATTATTCAGGTATAATGTATCACCTCTACATGGTGGCCACACTACCAATATAATTCAGTGTAGAAATCTAAACACGATACAAACAAGTGTCTGGGAATTGTTAAGTGTTGGTGTGTCTGCTGCAGCAGCGATATGTTTACTAAACTGGGTAGGTCTACTGAGGATATGATAGAATAGCACAAAGGTGGTTTATCTTCTTCCATAATAAAAACGACATTTCATGAAAATAATTTTTAGTACAGAATATTTTTATATTAAATAGTGCGTAAATATGGTGTAAAATAGAGAAATGAATAAGTAAATAAAGACACGTTAAATATCTTGAGTGTAGGGTATATAAACCCTTAAAGAAGTGTATTACTTTCTTTAAATTTACCCGAATGGTTCTAAAACACATCATTATAATCTACTACAAACCAAAACAACAACTGTTAAGAGCCATCACCGTGTGGCTCACGTGTGGTCCTGGTGTTTGTCGTGAAGTACACACACAAGCCTGTGGACAATATACTTTGAGGCCGGATTAAAAGACAGAGTTTACATGAGATAAATGGCCTAAACTATTGAATACATATTACTTATGTTTTAGTAAGGAGGTACAAGATGTCTTATTAATGTGTTGTAATACTGTTCAATATTTATATCACATAGCAAAAACAATTATAATTTCACTGAGGCTCATTCACTGTGGGAACTACAGACGTGTAAGTGGGCCACAGAGGCCCGCCAGTTCGTTAGTGGCAGTGTGGATACAGTACATTGTATACTAAGCCTTCGGTACACAACGAGGTAGCACAGTCGGTACTGCATTCGACCGACCTCACTTCCCCAGCTGGGTGGACTGGGGGTACCCCAGGATCTGATTAGTGACCCTTAGGACAAGGGAAGAGTGCAGTATCTACTAGGCCGTGATATAACATTGTAAGGCGTTGTCGAAATTGTGGAATGAGTTCATCGTGCACACACACAGGCTATCCGGGACAACCCTGGAACAGCTGTTTAGAGGGACATTGTCATGACAACAGAAGGGCAGCTGTTAACTAAAGTCCTGCCTACCTTCGTACCTCTCAGGTGACCACCACACTTTAACAAAACCATTACCTTTTTTTCCTTTTACTGTTTACTATAATCGTCTTTTTATTAAGGTAAACTGTAGTTTAACGATATTTTTCGAAGAAAGGCGATGGGGGTAACGGATAAATAATTTCAAGTGCTAGACATTTATAAATATACTTGCCAGAATAGTGTGTTTGTTGATCCTGAGTGTAAAGGCACACAGTACAGTATCGTGTGGTGATCCTTAGTGTAAAGGCACAGTATCGTGAGGTGTTGGCTTGTTATGAGTTACTCACAGGTAAACAGTATCCGAGAGAACAAGAAAGAAGAGGGCGGGTCGTCGATAGGTTTTTTATACGAGTTATATAACCCAGTCTTCACACTCTCCTTACATCTCATTGACGGAGACGCCGACGTAGGCGATGACAAGGATCAAGAGGATAATGGGAACGACGATCTGGGAGAACAGGTTGGTCTTGCGGCTACGTTCTGGCGGTGGGTACATCACCTTCTTCTTGGAGAACGGCATTACCAAGTTGCTGCTTTCCCGCATCTTCTGGTAGTTGATGATCACCAGCAGGATGACGATGGAGAAGTTGATGAGAATGCACGCCACAAACCACGTGTCCAGGAGCTTGAGGTAGGAAGTCTTGGGCGTAGTCTCGGTGATCTGGGTGAAGAGGGTAGCCAGGACGAGCAGGGCGGTCAGCGACACCATGATCCGGTCGTTGAAGTCGTCCAGCTCAAAGTAGAAGGTAGAGTAGCAGATGAGGACCATGAGGAAGGTCGGGACGTAGGTGCTGCTCACGTAGAACCCCGACAGGTTCTCTAGCCGGAACCTGATCTCCTGGCCACTATGGCTGTTCCAATCGGACTGGACCATCTCCACGTGTCTCATCTCGTATTCCCTGAGGTTCTTGGCGCCACGGTACTCGACCAAGATGTCGGAGCCTTTGAAAGCCACCAGATCCTTGGTGAAGTACTGCAGCCGTATAATGAAACTACAGAGCTGGCTGTCGAAGGGGTAAGACACCAGGTTCATCTGGCACGACACTATCACATGATACGTCTGTGTCAGCTTCAGTGAATTCTTATCCCCCGGATACACCTCATCTGGCGGAGCACATAACAAGGTTATTCTTCATTAGTCAACGAGGGTAATGTACGTAGGTGCGTGAGTGTATGAGTGTATGAGTGTGTGTGTGTGTGTGTGTGTGTGTGTGTGTGTGTGTGTGTGAAAACGGTAAAGAACTTGTGGTTATGTACTTAAGTATAAAAATAAATCATTGTGTAATTATAAATTCCTTCATAATCTCCTGTGTTAAAGTAGACATAATACAGAGACAAATATCCTGACTATTGTAGTAACGTTTCTATACAACTTTAAGCATCATTACACTTTAAAAGATGTAGTGAGACGAATTAAGCTAAAATTCCTAAACAATATGTATACAGTAAACCCAACCCAGAAAGACTGAGGTCAGAGTAACTAGTATTTGTCTTTCCCTGGACTGACCTTCTCTGACCCTAGTGATGTCATCAGGGTCAGGACCAGACTGCATCACAGCCACGAAGGTCTCCCACTGCAGTTTGGTCTCCGCCTCAGTGCCGGTCACATCCTGAAAGATGATCTCCGGCCTCCAAATATTCTCCTCGTCGTGGATAACGTTAAGAGTCTCCGCGTAGTTCAGGCTCTCCATGTCGAGTCTGGGATCCCGCCAAATAAGGTCAAGACTCAGGTCAAAGGTCAGCTTCATGTTTCGGGTATCGATGGGTTGCATGGACAAGATAGTCACGTTGATGTGGATCCTCGCTGGCTCCGTGCCCACCCGTGCCGGCGGTACCTGACACGGGGTATGACTGTCTGTAGGTTTGTGGTTTTCACGGCAGAGTGTAAGGAACAGGAGGGATGGATAGAAGTAACGAGTAGTGGAAGGGAAGGAGCAGAGGGCAGGGGTAGGGCAGGTGTAAGGCGTATTGAAAAGGAAGGAATAAAGAACAGAAGGAAGGGGCAAGGGTAATGAGTAGTCGAGGAGCAGAGAAATGAGTAGTGGAGGGACAAGAGAGAGGGCCACGAGTAAGGGAGGGCCACGAGTAAGGAAAGGCTAGGAGTAAGGCTCAGAGGGAGGAGGAAGAGGGATATAGCTTAGGAACTACCTACCTCCTTGATGTAGTCTCTGGGGACTACTACAGCGTTACAGAGTCTCTCGTCGCTCTGGTCGGGGCAGTTCACCTCCAGGTCACATCGCTGCATCTTGAGGATACAGGTGCCGTCGTTGCAGGTGTACTGGTCAGCGCGGCAGGCGGTTAAGAGCAGCTCTGGCTGTGTCGTGGGGCACGAGTCACCTGAGGAGAACACCTGTGTCACCTGGGACTGAGACATGTAAACTGTGTAAACTGGGAATGACGCCTGAAGAGAACAGTTAAGAGGACACGCGCTTACCTTAGGACAGGGGTCACCAAACTACGGCCCGCGGGCCGGATCCGGCCCGCGACGTCAGTTCATCAGGCCCGCCGTGGTAGCTCCGCCTACGCTCTGACGTTACCATGGTTTCCATGGCTTTCGTTCTGGCTTGCAAGTATGGAACAGAATGATTATGCGGCCCGCGCTCGTCATTCTTTCAGTTATCTGGCCCACTGTGAAAAAAGTTTGGTGACCCCTGCCTTAGGAGAACGCTTGTGAGAACGTTTGTCTCTTCTGAGAGAGACGTTTGAGAACAGTTTTTGTATCTCAAGAGAACATCTGTCACCTGGATGAGATAGTATACATGTGGGGTTGAATATCAAGGTGGAAAAAAGGGTGAAAGTTATACAGCAGTAGGAAATATCCGATACATGCCATAGCAGAGTGGACTTTAGACCACTTGACTGACATTAAAGTTAACAGTTTCGTTCTATATCGTATTGATTACTTAAACTTGACTCAACAAAGTTCCTACAAAAGTCTAGGTATGTTTACCTGTGATGTTCCAACGTTGGAGTCCTAGTGGGTATTGCATAATGTTGGTCATCTCCATAGTGGCGGTGATCTTGCTAAAGAAGAGGTCCCGCATTACCCAGGTCGTGTTATCCCAGTAGATCTGGGTGTGGCTGATGCCGTCAAACAGTGCCTTGTTGTTCTTCATACCGTTGATGATAAACTGTCGGTTGAGCAGCGTGTCACCACACAGCCCCCGGAGCCTGAGTGTGGTGTGACTGGTGAAAGTACACACGGTACAGGTCTTGATGTTACACGGGTACACCACCCACTTGCCCTCCGCCAGCGAGTCCATAAACACGCAGCGGAAAGTGGAGATGGACCTGGCGTATCCATGGCGGAAGTTGTTATACTGGATAGTTGCGTTGGTCTCCAGGTTGATGTACTCCCAGGTATCGTCCCCACGACTTACACCGATCCCCAGCCACAGGTACACACCGTAGCCAGTGGTGCAAGTCGCCACGAGGCTCTTGGTGTCTTCTACGACCTGTCTGTTCTCCGCCTCACTCTCTGGGACGGCGACCATTCCCTTCAACATTTGGCACAACACTTGAGACTGGTATAAAGTGCGGTGCTCTGGGAACATGACGTGAGTCTTTGGGGGTTCCCCACACACTTCTTGTTTTGGGACAAAAAAAAGTTCAACGTCTCCAGAAGCTTGCCAGTCTTCCGTCATCAAAACAAAGGAAACTGTGGCTGTGTCGAACCTCCTAAAGTCACAGGAGACAAACTCGTTGATGAGCTGTTCTCTCAGAAACTGTGGGTAAATGAGAAAGTTGGCAATGTAGGCCTCGAGGCTCTGCTCGAGGTTGAAACCTTCGCCATGCAGGTCCTGTTCTTGCCCCAGGAGGAGTATTCCACCGCCCTGCATTATCAGTTCCTCCCCGGACAGTGTGATCACCTCCCCGCTGTAACCTTTAGAATCTACCATTAGGGTGTAACGCCAGGCTTGGAGGTCCAGTGCGAGGCAGATGTGTACCCAGGTGTGGAGGATAGAGAAGGTGAACACTCCCTCAAGCTCCACATGACCATCACCACCACAGCACACCACCACCACGGCCCCAGTGTCCCAGTTGACGTCTGCGGCGACAAGATGGTTGATTAAAAAACTGATAAAACACCTTGGTAGTGAAGACCCACAGTCCCTCGTGGGAAACACAGTTTGTAATAAAGTTGCTCTCTCTCTCTATGTATGTATATATATATGTATATATATATATATATATATATATATATATATATATATATATATATATATATATATATATATATATATATATATATATATATATATATATATATAATTGTCTATCTTTTAAACTGTATACCTAATTATTTAATTTAGTTGTTTTTGTCTCTATCTGTCTCTGCCTGATTGTCTTGAGTCTCTTATTCCCCTACCCTCCCTTCCTCCCACTCTCCAGTACTCACACACTAGTAGCTCATCTGGGAACTCTGGGACGGAGTAGCTGAGAAGAGGCATTAGGTTGGAGCGAGTGTGGAGGAGGTAGAGGTGGAGGCAGACGGTGAGGGTGGAGAGGGTGGGCACGGACTTCTTCCACTGGACGAAAGACTTGTTGTTGGAGACGCCCTGTGATTGCAGGTATACGGCGGGGTAAGTGTCCTCCTCCCCGCCGATCACATCTGAAGGAGATGAAGAAGGTGTTCAGTATGCTTGTTAATTCCCCATATTCAGGTGGTGGGTAAATGAGGATGCTGAATTGGGCAGTTATTCACTCAGCCGTTTACTTTCTTACCCAAGCCAAGCCAAATCCTGACTTTCAACATATTTTCATTCAAAATTAAGTACAGAGTACTTTCATTCTTGTTTGCCACCCAACCTACTTGCCAAGTTTCATCAAAACTGGTAGTTCAGGTGAGAGATATTGTGTGTGTGTGTGTGTGTGGAGTATAGAATCGGGGACGAGACCTGTACCATTACCATATTTGCTGGTAATCTCCTGCTATGAGACTCGTTTGTCCTCAAACAGAATTTGATCTTGGTATTTGTTTCGTCAGTTGTCACCTGATGCTGCGACGATGACCCCCCCAAGAGCACCTACTGTACACTGCCCAGCATCAGTATGATTACCAGAGCCTTAACACGGGGACTCTTTAAGTGACGATGACCAGAATAACTAGAATCTAATCACATAAAGGTGACGTATTCATGTAGTATATCTGATCATCATGCTATTTTTGGTTTCAAGAATTATTTCACAATAAACTATTCTTAGTTATTAATTTACGAAGCAGTTTTAGTCATAACACACGAGCATGCACTATACGTACCCAGCTGTGCCTGCGTGAGGAAGAGGGAGAGAACTAGCAGCAGGAGGGTGAGGGTAGCGGGAGGACCGTCGGCCACCGTGCTCATGGTCCTGCCTGGTTCGCTACTGGTGAATTGAATTGAATTGAAACATTTTATTTAGCCAGAAAAATACAGATACAGAGTGGATAATAATAACAATATTAACATGGCTCAACCAGTTGAGAACCTAAGCTCTCTTTGAGGCACCTGATATATACTATACATTTATCTCAAGGAAGTATTATGTAACATTTAGTATCATCTGTGTTGCGTCTCTCTCTTACCTTGCTACTTGACCTCGCGCTCTGGGAGACGGTGGTTTCGTCACCTGTGTTTGGAGCCTCTCTGTTGTTTCACATCTAGGATCTTCTTCTTCTCGTTCTTAGATTACCGACTTCGACTTTTAGCATTCGAAGATTTTTAGCCTTGTACCTTCTTTGTTACCACACTATTCCTCTCTGATATTTCAATAGTCTTCCTGTTCTTAAGACTTTTCTCCTCCTTTATATCCACGTCTGTGCCCGAGAACTTTTGGAGATTTGAAGGAATCTGGTCGTATATATCGTCTATCAAGTACTGCCCCGCTCCTTCACTTCTAAGGTCAAGCGCCTCAATGTTTACAGCCCTCTCATCTTACGCACCTCTTTAGTCTTGCGCCTCCACCTGTACTGTCACCCCGCACCTCCGTCCTCCAGGTCCCTCCAGCGTCTCGGGGATAATGAGAGCTTAGTCATGGTGCAGGAAGGGCATGGGTGGGAGGAGGGTGGGAGGAGGGGGGGGAAGAGGGGAGGAGAGGATGAGGGGAGGAGTGAGGAGAGGGGGAGGGTAAAGAGTGAGGGGAGAGTGGAGGATGGAGGGGGGGGGGGGGCAGTGACTGACACTTCAACCGTCTCTGTCGCTCGATATATCTATACCAGCAATAGACATTCGACATATGGTGATAAATAGCGCTTTATACCCAGAAGGCGAGGCAAGAGAAGTGAGAGACGTGAAGCTCAAGTCACCTTAATTACCACATTAAGAGTCTAATTAATATCGCTACTGTATTGGCTCCGATGTACAGTATGAGCTGCGAGGTGAGGGTCAGGACTGGGAGTGGGACAAGGAACAGGAGGAAGCTTTTATTAAGGCTAAGGAACTAGTACTGGAATATCTTTATCTGGCTCATTTGATGTGTCATTGGAGACTAGCGTGGCATGTGATGCCAGTCCACATGGCACAGCATGAGTTGTATCACAGGTTGGTAGGAGTTGTGTTTTGTTCCCGGTTCATGAATGACAGTGAACGACGATACGCCAAGACTGATCGGGAAGGGTCGAGTGTAATGGCAGGGATAAAAAAGTTTCACTCTTAAGACTGATTACAAGCCACTGTTAGGAGAGGATGCGCAGGGTTGAGCAGTGTTACCTCACACGAGGCTCCTGACGCACAGCCAGCCAGTTTTAATACATAAATTATTTCCTTATTTCTCTTCCCTTTTAACTCTAAAATAAATCTAATTTCTATCAGTTAAAGATTCTTAAACAACCATTTCCAACCAAACAATGAGAAACATTTTTTTTATTGTTTATCTTGGGGAATTTTCTTGAAAAATTAATTCTTGACAAAACAAAATACTTAGTTAAATTCTATCCACAGGTTACATGAGGTTAGTTTGAAATATTTTCATACTTTCTCCTGACGGATCAACTGCCTGCTGCTATATACTCACCTGGGGGACAGCGTAACAGGAGGTGCTCCTCACTCACCCTCAGAGTGTAGTGAGACAGCACCTCGTCTTCTGTTCACTCTCTTGATATATACATATATCAGCGGGTGTAGTAAACCACTGAATCATTTTAACGCTATTTAAAAATTCATATGGGAATTTTTTTTTTTAAAGGAGTTCCTCCCTGTTTCACGGGCTCCCCTGAGGCTGTTTTGTAGACATGGTGAAATGTCTTGCAAAAAAAATGTTCATTATAGTCTTGAATGAACTCGTCCCTTACAAGCTTCAATGACGCAGTCACTTCCAAGTACAGTAAGTGTACCATCAATCACAAAGGTGAGAGCAGATAATAAAAACGACAACATCGATAATTGATACATTAAACCTGTGAAGGGGAAGGATAGTGGGGTCTCTATTACACAGTTTGAGGCCCTCAGAATCAATGACTTCACATAGACGTTGAGGCCCTCTTGTTGTGGCGGCCAGAGCCGCTCCGCCACCCTGCCAGCTGGAACATGTCACGATAGCCAAAGCTTATTGCGTCTTTTCAATGCTGATCGTTAAATTATTCCTAATATTTCGTTCAGCCGTAACATCATATTGTCTCTCTGCGAGCTTATGTATATCTCTTATTAAATATGAAGCTGGTGGTACACTGGCGGTGAAGTGTGCATAGTCTGTTGTACAGTCACCCAAAAAGTCGTGTCGCCTCTCATCCTGAACCATGAACCCCGAGATTCAGACTCTTGAATCCGAAGGATTTATGGACAGACTAATGTATCAGTGTCTACTGCTTCGGGTTCACGAGTCTGAATCTCGGGGCTCGTGGTTTAGGATGAGAGGTGACAGGAATTTTTTGGGTGACTGTACCCTTCCTGGACGACTGGTCACTACGCCGACCCTCCCACCAACACACACCGTGGAACTGACAACGGAGATTGGAAGGATATTAATGTGAATATTGGCCAACGTTACTACTGATGAATAATGAAGATGAGATAATATCTTGCTTACGAGAGCAGAAATCTAAAGTGATAGGAGTATCCATTCGAATATCAGAATACAATAGGGAAATTAGTTTAGAATGAACAATCGCCTTATGTGTGATTAACGGCAGCAGTACGACGAAAACGACTAGGAGCAGCAATCACCTTACGTGTTATTAACGCCAGCAGTGGGGGGAAAACGAAAAATGGCAGCAATCACCTACGTGTGATTAATGGCAGCAGTGAGGCGAAAACGAAAAATGGCTGCAATCACCTTACGCAACAGAGCCAGTACATGCCCAGTACTTGTCAACAGTGTGTAACAGAGAGCCAGAACACGCCCAGTTCTTGCCAACAGTAACAGAGGCAATACATGCCCAGTACTTGTCAACAGTGTGTAACAGAGAGCCAAAACATGCCCAATACTTGCCAACAGTAACAGAGGCAATACATGCCCAGTACTTGTCAACAGTGTGTAACAGAGAGCCAGTACATGCCCAATACTTGCCAACAGTAACAGAGAGCCAGAACATGCCCAGTACTTGTCAACAGTGTGTAACAGAGAGCCAGAACATGCCCAATACTTGCCAACAGTAACAGAGCCAGTACATGCCCAGTACTTGTCAACAGTGTGTAACAGAGAGCCAGAACATGCCCAGTTCTTGCCAACAGTAACAGAGGCAATACATGCCCAGTACTTGTCAACAGTGTATAACAGAGCCAGTACATGCCCAGTACTTGCCAACAGTGTGTAACAGAGCCAGTACATGCCCAGTACTAGCCAACAGTGTAACAGAGCAAGTACATGCCCAGTAGGCCCTACTTGTCAACAGTGTGTAACAGAGAGCATGTACATGCCCAGTATTTGCCAACAATGTGTAACAGAGAGCCAGTACATGCCCAGTATTTGCAAACAATGTGTAACAGAGAGCCAGTACATGCCCAAACACACATGAGGTACATATTTACCCACCCAAACACACATGAGGTACATATTTACCCACCCAAACACACATGAGGTACATATTTACCCACCCAAACACACATGAGGTACATATTTACCCACCCAAACACACATGAGGTACATATTTACCCACCCAAACACACATGAGGTACATATTTACCCACCCAAACACACATAGAGTACTTATTTACTGGCGCATGGCAGGCAAAGCCATTTGCCACTTTACTTCATTATCATCATCATCAAAGACAGTCAGTGCTAGTTCACGGTCCTCCTGTTCTCGCCCCTTTAAAGGAATGAGAGAAAACTTGACGAAATGGATGGTAGACAAAAGTATACTTGTATGTCTGTATGTATGGTAGTACACCTTTTCACATACCCGTTGAGACATTGTTACATAACTATTTGACAAATTCCATAACCGAATGAGAAGGACACATATCGAATGACAATCTAAAATAACTGTTGGTGGTATGTCATTCTCCAATTGTTACATTCTCAAACTATATGTACACTGTCGGTTTATTGTTCACGTCAGTCAACTTCATAACTCATGTCAATCATTTCCGTTAGCATGAACGAACAGTTATTTTAGATTGTCATTCGATATGTGTTCTGTCATTCGGTTATGAAATTTGTCAAATAGTTATGTAACAATGTCTCAACGGATATGTGAAAAGGTGTAGTGAAGGACCTTCACAAAATTTATTTTTATATTTCTGTGACAAGAAAGAGTTTAGGATGAAAAATTAATACAGTAATTATATATCGTACTGTCGAAATTTTACACAATTAAAATCTATAACTTGAATTTTTCTTCAGTAATCTGGATCATAATTCTTAGAGAATCAATCTTTAAATTTTACTCAAAACTTGTGAGAAAATGTCTAGTTATGACAGTGTCAGTGTCATTTCAAAACTGTTTTGGTGTTCAGCTTAATGCCAAGGCTTGAATAGGGCAGCTGGTACACTGTCATCAAGAACCAGGTGAAACAATAGAGAAATTTGTGTCTGGGAATGATCAACTGTATTGGTTTGCTGGTTCTGTTTACAAGTGAGTACGGTACTGCCACCTATGAGCGTCGTGTGTCCACTTCACTACTCGTCGAGGAGGGCAAGTAGAATCTTCTTGTAGTCCCCTGATGTGTCACCCTTGAGGAAGAAGAAATATATAATACAAGAATGATCTTAATAAACTGTAGAGGATTTGTAAGACTTAAGGACCTATATGTATCAGCCGATTAATAACTCTCCAACTTCTCTTGTTACGAATTCCAATATTCATTCATTCATTCCTATCACCGTACACATCCTTCACTATAATCGCATTGGAATACCTATAACTGATGCACCTCACTATGACTATAGGATCTTCACGTCGTGTGATCCTACACAGGTCTAATGTGTCACTCCCTCCCCCTACACATCTTTAAAACACCTTTCAAATCCTCACCTTAATGTCCTTCGACAAGGGTTTGTTATACATGTTTTCGTACTCGGTCTTGATGTTGCCGAGGTCTATCTCACTGCGGGTCACCACCAGCCTGATGAGATCCTGGTCCCTGGTGCCCGACCCCGCCATGGCTTTGTGCAGCTCTTCAGCCAAGAACGCGAAACGATTATCCAGGCATTGGACTGTTGCAGGCAGGATGAGGTTAGTATCGAGGGGATGGGGGATAGAGATTTATGGTTAAGGTACGAGAGGCACACCCACGAGACTTCACCTTACGTGATGGATAATTTAATTCTAGGGATGGACAGAGGTTAATGGAGTGGGATGAGGATAGTATTGGTGGGATGAGGATAGTATTGGTGGGATAAGGATAGTATTAGTGGGATGGATACTAAACGCATATGACCAGGGATAGAAAACAAAGGCCAATTAGGGACGTATCTCTGTCGCTCTCTGTCTCTCATTTTGAAGGAACAACAATAAAAAAAAATAGCAACAACATAGTGATAACCGACAAAGGAACTCATCGACAAGAAGTAAATGAGTTATTATTTGATTCACGAAGTGGCATAAACAACAACAGCGGCACAGCTAAGAATGTTGCAACATGGACAGTCAACATCACCAACCAGACCGCAACAACAACTTTTAGCAACTGAAATAACCAAACATTGACAATAGAAGGTTAAGGTACTGAGTCAGTAAAATAACCAACCAATAACATCTAAATCACTACAATGACCAAACATTAACCACAACAGAAGTTACGTCACTAAACAATAACAACTGTATGGGATAAGGCTCTTTGTCACAAAAATACAACAACAGCAACATCTAAGTCACTACAATAACCAGACATTAACTACAACAGAAGTTAAGGCTACGTACAAACTTCCTTCAAATAGGTTTTATTGTTGCCGGTGTACTGACAGTCGAAAGTGTCACCGAGAGTCCTGTCCGCCTGCTTATAGTACTCGACGAGCACCTCACGTAGCTGCCTGAAGGAGTACTTGCAGAGCACCTTCACTAGTTCCTCCTCCTCCAGCCCTAAACCTGTAGAAGGTGGTGAGTCAAGACGTGTGTAGGGTTTAGTACACTGTGCACACCGTAATCTTCTACAACATGACACAGCCTGTTATGTAACATGGCAGGGTATTGAATATAAGGATCACCTGATGCTTAGCACCTCCAGCTTATTTCACCTGATGATTAAACACCCTAACGCTACATGGGGGGCTAGATTAGGTCTCAAGGTGATTAATGAGCTGGGGGCAATCTTCAGGTGTTTCAAATATATAGTAAGTTAACTTAATGTACTTTTATACACAATTATATATATTATTCTGTCAGGTACCCCCATCACACTCTCTCTGTAAACGATAGTATACCTCACAGTATACACAGCAACACCATACCCTACACGCCACACACACACACACACACACACACGCCAGACTTCATACTCCAAAAGGTAGCAGGCACGAGATAGCCTGATAACCACTAGAGATAATACTATCCTGGTAATAAAGTCGAAATTGTTCAGGTGGCGAGTCACTGATGACTAAGATAACATCCTGGGCCGGTAACACCAAGGCAAGATAACCATACACCCGGGGATTTTGGCAGAAGATAACTAAAAGTCAAATGTGTTTTATGTGATTTGTTCTTCTGTAGGTTAGTATAATGGTGCTGTAATTAATGTACCTGTCCTTACACGTGTACCTGTACTTGCATCTCTCCCTTTATTTATACATACAGTAAATCTGTAATAACCGAACACCCACTTATCCCTTTCATGACAAGCTGTTTCTGAAACTTATCTTCGTGACCGACACTCCCCCGCCGCCAACTTTGACCTCTTGATAACAGGTAGGTTCTTATGACCCAACATACCTGAGTTATTATACATCCTGCTTGATAACTCCTGAGCTCTGCCCAACGCTTCAAGTCGTTTGAGATTAATGTAAGCCTGAATTATTACTCCGTTTTCCTTAGCCCTGTGCCAGAAAATTTTATCTCCAAGTCTTGGTTTGCATTTTGGGTATAATTAATTAAATCTCATGAAATATGATGTTAAGAGTGGCTGAGTTTCTTGCGGACATAATAATCTAGGTCGGCTGTAAAGTCGCGACGACAAGAAAACTTTGAGAATTTAGCTACAATTCTTCGTCGTGTCGTAATATCCCACCATGAAGGACAGAGTGTCTCTCAGCAGACAACAGGGCCGATAAGAGCTGGAGACTTACCATCGTTGTAGAGTTTTTTGGCAACGCTGTGGCTGAGTTCTTCGTTGTAGGTGTCACTGCGCTCTGCTGCCGCCATCCCCAACATCACTGCCTGGAAGGTCTCCGTGGTGGCCTCTGTCAGTGCCTCCTCCAGGCTACTGTCAAATAGACGCTCGTAGGCTGACTTGATGGACCTGTGAAGAGGACGACGAGGGTGAGAGAGCTGAGGGAAGATGACTGTGTTGATGAGTGTTTAGTTTAATGTTTGTGATCACATGTCTATTGTACTGAAAATCACTCAAAGTAAGGTGTTTTGTCACGTGGGGCCCATTTCTAATGGACCCCGATATCCTGACCTAATGGGACCCAATTCTAATGAGGCTCAGTTTTAAAGAGTCAGTTCTAATATGGCTATAGTCTCGTAATCCCCAGTCCAATTACAATAAGCAGGGTTGGGGGCCCCTGTTAGGACGGAAGCCCATTATGAGCTGTACCACATTTAATAACCACGGTGAGGAGTGGGTCTTGGGTCAGGTTCCATTGTTTTTATATATTAGATGATTGAAGCAGGAAAGACGACATTTAAACAACCACAAAGACTCAGACATTCAACAGATAAAACAGACAGTTGTGGACTAAAACTACATGGACATTTTTGGCAACATCTTTCATCTAATTGAGGGGTCGTATAGGTAGGTAAAGGAGATTAGAATTTTAACTTCAATTTATTCCGATTTGTCTTTTGTATTATAACAGAGATCAATGTTCACCAGCTATAAACAATTCACATATATGGACCACAAGTTGATGCCAGCCAGATACTGTATCTCCAAATGTCAAGTAAGAATGAGAAAACATATAATGGTTAGAAGTACGGAGAGAACCTTTCAAGAACGATTCCAACTGGATTATTAACAGAAATGAGTGAGTAAAGAAATTATAATAAAGTAAAGTATAGAGAAAGAGGAAAACAAAGACACACCCACTGAGACAGATGATGTGCAGAGCAATATAAAGTAGATGATAATAACTGAGTAAAACGAGAGAGAGAGAGAGAGAGAGAGAGAGAGAGAGAGAGAGAGAGAGAGAGAGATCACACACACAGACGTACTTGATGGTAGAGTTCTCAGCTGTACAGAGCATCTCGATCATGGTGTTGGCATTCTTCTTCTTGCAGGCGTGATGGAGTTGTTGAGCCAGGTACTCGTTCCTTCTGGTCATCAGAACTAAGATTATGTCCTCAAAGTGTCCAGTTAGCTCTTTCTTCAAGTCCTTAACCAGGTCCTGGAGGGCGAGGTCACACTCATGGTTAAAGGGTAATCGTTTGTATTTTTTTAGGTTTTGTTGTCTCTCATTTGATATTTTTTGGGGGTCATCATAAAAGTGAAAACTAAGTCTAATCTTTATTGTTTTTCTTAATCATCTACCTCATCTATCCTACGTTCGTTGTGTGTGTGTGTGTGTGTGTGTGTGTGTGTGTGTGTGTGAGTGAGATCCACCAACACTCACCCTGCTGAAGGTGCTCTGGTACTGCTGCAGGACCACCTGTCGCTGGTCAGAGGAGCAGGAGGTGAGGAGGTTGATGATGGTCGCCTCGTCGGTGCCCATCCCCTTCATGGCCTTCCTCAGACCCTCCACGTACCCGGCCACGTCCATGGGTATCTTGGTCTTAACTGTAGGGTGGTCATGTTGCTGTGGGAGAGAGGGGGTGAGAGGGAGCTTAAAAGACTCAGTATTATCTAAAAGAAACACCCGAAAATGTACGTTCAATAATAAAGGCTTGATGGAGAACAATCAAAATACAACTATGTTTTGTATAATTGTAGCAGACACTGTGTTTAAGTATTTAATGTGTGCTGCATACTTCACTTGTAGTTGTTTGTGTTAAGTGAAGTACCTGTTAGAGTCTATTAAGCACCGCTCAACGCGTCTTAGTTTTCAGAACACTAAACTTGCAAATCTTAGAAAAAAAGTTCCGTCTTACCTCAGCCATTTTGCGAATAATTTAAGTCATCAAGTGTGTTGGGGAATACTTGACCTGTTCTCTACCCACGCCAGCTGCTGAGTGATTGAGGTTCTCACTGATAGGGCCTCCGTTGTGAACGACCTATCTCGTGATTGGCTGATGGGCCAATGCCTCGTACACGTAGGGACAACACTTTACGTTGATTGGTCAGAGATTCGTGATATCGTCAAGTGTTTCAGGAAGCGTTGCGGATATCAGACTGTAATCTGATGAATTTGGACGGCCGCCTACGGGTCAGGTATGACAGATGGAACATAAGCCAGTTGATGTTATAGATACGATTCGTTGATCTACAGAAATATCGTTGTCTTTAAAACGATGGCTTACACATTATTTTAAGAAGATGGTAAAGGTTATAGAGAACGAGTGAAGGTGATTCAAGATAAAAATTGCACCGAGCAGCTGGTATATCCAGATAATATTGTGTTTGTGCAAGAATAAAAACAAAAAGTTCACAAGCATGTTTAAATCTTCCATTTATTTTGATGATTAAACACCCTGTGGCTAACCTAACCTAACCCCTCCAGGTAGCGCCAGGGTGTTTTTAATCACCAGGTGAAATAAGTTGGAGGCCTAACCTTTACTTTAACCAAACAAACATATATTTACCAACTTTTGGCTGTGTATTTCTGAGATTTTTTTTGAGTGTAGTAGCATCATTGGTGAAATTTATTGAATAACTGACGGAGACGTGTAAGTGGTGGTGGTGGTGGTACCCGGAGGCCAGCACCGCTATCATACTCAAAGGTTATCTTATCTCTCCATTACTCATTGTCAGGGGAGGTACAACCATTCACTCTAGGTCTCCTACACTATGACCTAATATATACTATTGTCCGAAATAAAGTAACGATAACAACAAGTTTCTAACGGACCCTGCCATTAACCGTAAGGTGTCTATGATATTATAAAACCTGAACTTGGAAGAATCTACCTAACCTAACCTAACAAAGCTTTAAGATCCATCACTCAAAGGCCCATATTTCCCCCTATCCACCCCTGTTCCTATTGTGGTCATTGTGTCTATGTGTAAGTAACAAGAGTGCAGAGGTCTTATTGCAACTATATCTTGCGCTAGTCAGGCCGCACCTCGATTATGCGGTTCAGTTCTGGTGCCCTATTATAGAATGGATATAAATTCACTAGAGTCGGTGCAGCGAAGAATGACAAAAAATGATTCCGGGACTTAGAAACCTTCCATATCAGGATAGGTTAAAGAAACTTAACTTGCATTCCCTAGAAAGACGAAGAGTGCGGGGAGATATGATAGAAGTATTTAAGTAGGTGAAAGGAATCAATAAAGGGGATATAGATAAAGTTCTTATAATATCCGAGCAGGATAGGACTCGGAGCAACGGATTCAAGTTGGATAAGTTTAGGTTTAGGAGGGAGATAGGAAGAAACTGGTTCACAAATAGGGTGGTGGACGAGTGGAACAAGCTTAGCAACTTTGTAGTAAGTGCTGGAAGGCTGGAAAGTTTCAAAGGGAGGCTAGATAGATTCATGGATGATCGACAGGAGCTGCCATGCACAGGCCAACCGGCCTATTGCAGACTCTTTATTTTCTTATGTTCTTATGAGACAAATTTCCTTTTATATTCAGCGTTTCTAAGACAATCCTGTATAATGTAATCTGAGGCCTCCACATACCGCCACACATCAAGGGTATAGACGGCCTGACTAACAAGTTTATACGGAGCTAATACCTTCACTGATTCTCTTGACCTTTAAGAAAATGAAGTGATGGTAGAAATTTTTATTATTATTATTATTATTATTATTATATCATATTATTATAATTATTATTGTTATTATCGTTATTGTTATTATTATTATCATTATTATCATTATCGCTATTGTTATTATTATCATTATTATCGTTATTATTATTATTTTGATTTTGTTAGTGGATTGCAGAACCACCTTGAATTATAACTAGGATAACTTAAGAAAAATTAATAGGGTAAGGCAGGTTAGAGGCGCCTTGTGGAGGAAGTTACTGCTGAAGTGAAGGATTGTCTTGACGTCTGTTGAAGCTTAGTATTCATATGTGACGTCAGTACTATTCTCTCCAGGCCTTTACTATCTTACTATGTGACGTCAGTACTATTCTCCAGGCCTCACTATCTTACTTGACGTCAGTACTATTCTCCAAGCATCACTATAACGGTGACGTCAACAACATCCCTCCAGGCCTTACCATCTTTCCTATGACGTCACTAAGCTTCCCTACTAATTAACCCATCTTCAATCATCCACTGTTTTTGTTTACATCCCCATTTACTCCACAGCAAGGACGTCACACTGTTCATTTACTGCACAACATGACGTCACACTGTTCATTTACTCCACAACCTGGCGTCACACTGTTCATTTACTCCACAACTTGACGTCACACTGTTCATTTACTCCCCAGCATGACTTCACACTGTTCATTTACTCCACAACCTGACGTCACACTGTTCATTTACCCCACAACCTGACGTCACACTGTTCATTTACTCCACAACCTGACGTCACACTGTTCATTTACTCCACAACATGACGTCACACTGTTCATTTACTGCCCTGCATGACGTCACACTGTTATTAATACAGCCTCAGCTCCCCGGCTGTTATTTACCCGTCATTCAATTGTCTGTTTCAATTAGCGAGCAATTTTGTAGTTATTACCTTTATTAATTGTTTGTGATTATTATTTAACGAGATAAGTTTCAGGGATAAAGTGTGGCAGTCGATCACAGGTTTATTGTTGTGTTATGAGGCTGTTTATTGGGTGTTGAGAACCTCTTGATTACTTATTAGATAAAGAAATAATCGTCTATGTCATTATCTAATTATACAATGATCGTCCAGATTTTATTAGATTATATAAAGTATTATTAATTATTTCCGATTAAGACGATATGAAGTAGACAATAAAATAAATGAATCAGAAGAAGCAAAATAGAAACGTAAACAAAGAGATAACAAAGAAGATAAAGTGACTAAAACAAATTAAAAGGAAACAGAATCACAACAGCTTTGATTTCTTCATTATATCAGGTTCTTATCGGACTTTTTTACTCTCTCGAATTCCTCCAGCCCGATATGTTATTGCCGCGAAGCTATTCCAACGCCGTCCCCAAAGCCGTGGCTGCCGTGTATTCCCTTAATTTCCCCAGAGTCGTCCGTCGTAAGCTGGCGTTTATTAGATCCGCCATAAAATTTGTTATTGAAGGTAGGCGGGGATGGAAGAAGGAAAAAAAAACATCATGTACAGTCCTTCCAGTAAATTAGTGTGACCCCCTGAGAGTAATAATTCCAGGCAAGGGGTGAGATAATTTTACAATTGGGCGTAAATTAACTGCCGGTACCTCATTCAGTACGACAGTTTTACGCGCCTCGTACGATTCTTTACATCCAGTTGTTTATCCGAGTTCATTTGTTGTTGATTGTTTTTTTTTTTACTGTGGCTTCACACACACACACACACACACACACACACAGAAAACATAATTCGGGATATGTCATTTACATATCGACTAGTTAGCGCTTGACAATAATACTCAGCATGTTGATGTAGTTAACCTGTTAGACCAAACAACATCAGCGATGAATGTAGAAAAAGTTTTAATTACAAAATACAAATTTTCAAGGTTAGTCTCTGAATTTTGAACAGCGTCACTGTTTTATATAGTACGCAATGGACATTTAAACCAAGCATATATTCGGTGCTAAATATCTATAGTGTACACCATATTAGTTGCTATCTTGACCACTAGAGATAATCTGTCCTTCTGAGTTCCGAAAACAATATAATCTGTCCTTCTGAAATCCGAAAAGTACACAAACAAAATCAACTTAACAAAGAGGATGAACTTTGAATACCCTCAACATTCCTGGTCTGAGGATACACTTCATAACTTTGGATACAATTTAAAGTGTTATACCAGAGTCATTATTCCACCGTGTAAATAGAAATAAACAAACATTAAACACTTCACCTCAGAAAAAAAAATCTTTTTGTCTGTTCAATTTTCCCGTGTTTTTATATTCCTTCCTTTATTATCTTCACAGAGAGAAACTAAATGAAAACACAAAAAAACAGAATGAAGAAGAAAAGAGAGAGCCCGACACACAAATAGACAGACAGAAAAAATAATCACACACTATCAGAAATACCTAACCTAACCTAACCTAACCTAACCTAACCTAACCTAACCTAACCTAACCTAACCTAACCTAACCTAACCTAACCTAACCTAACCTAACCTAACCTCTTCAGCTGACGGAGGGAAGAATTAATGTAATATCTCGGCATCGGGTGTTTAACTAGGAGACATAGGCAGCCAGAGGTGAGGAGGAGATACGTGGAGACATGGACCCACAGGAGACAGCGGAGGAGATAAGAAGGGAGAAGTGGATTAGAGAAATATACAAGACCATCCGCGCTTCCCTGTGTTGACGTCACAAGATTACCCGAGGAAATTCCCTTTTGAAAGCACAAGACGAAGGTGGAGTTCACGGTACATTATTGCCCCTTGATTGAACTGGTTTATATTCATGTGTTGACAAGACGATGGAGGCAGCGGCAGGGGCCTCACTCTGGCTCATGGTGGGAGAAATAAGAGGATCTGGGTGGATGGGTGGGTCGGTGGGTGGGTGGGTAGGGTAAGACGAGGTGGGTGGGGAGAAATGAGAAGATGTGGGGTGGAGTGGTGGGGGTTACACGAGGTAGGTGGGTGGGGGTAGTGGTGTGGGGGGGGGGAAGGAGATGATGTGGATTGTGGGTGGGGAGGAATAAAGGGCAAGACGGAGAGTGATGCAGGGAGAGAGAGAGAGAGAGAGAGAGAGAGAGCACATCAGGCCAAGTGAAGGGCTGCTTACCATTCACTATACACAGTACATCTACACTGTCTATGTACTGTTTGTTTACCTACACTGTTTATAGCCATGCTGAATCAATGTGAATATACATGATGATTTTGCTCAGTATGTATGTATGTATGTATGTATGTATGTATGTATGTATGTATGTATGTATGTATGTATGTATGTATGTGTAGCGAATCGGTTTTCATTGCCT